ACTCCCCTTAGCAAGTTTTTTTGTTGCTTTTTTTGAGTTTTTCCTGTGTTTGGACAGGTTTTTACCTCTTTTTTTCTTGCTGAGATTTCTTTTTTTTATCTATTTTAGTTAAGTATCTCACTTAACTTTCTTTCTTTTTTTCTTTTCGTTTATTTTTCTTCGTTTTAATCATTTTTTTTCTTTTATGTTTGCATAAGTTTTGTCGACAAATTTTTTAAGTAAATAAAATTAAGTTTAAAAAATAAAACTGAGTTTGTAAAGTGAAATAAAGTATTTTGCCTTTGAAAATAATTTTGATGTGTTGGGAGATAAAGAAAAGCAAGCCAATAATTGCGAGTGTTTAGGAAATAGATGCGTTCTCGGTCTAAATTTTTCCGAGTTGGCCACTAGAAGAGTAAAGGGATATTCTGCAAGTATTTTTGACTATTCTTCTTCAACTTCTTCTCCTAGATATCATTTAACTGAAAATGAAAAACAAATTGGTGGTTTAACCAGTTATCCAACTAGTAGAATAAATGAAATTAAAGAATATGTAAAACAAGGAAATGAGAACAGAATATCTAGGAAGTATAACGACAAAGATAGGTTTGATCTGATGCTTTTATCAGCAGTAGGAAAGAGATTAACTTATCAAGAATTAATTAACTAATATGAATATGAATGAAATAAAGAGAAAGATAACACACGAAGGAGAATTAAATTTAGGGGGAAACAAAATATCTTGCTATGTTCTAGAAGATGGAACTCGAGTTTTATCAGGTCGGGGGATGCAAAATGCTTTGAAAATGACCGATGAAAATGACAAACAAAGTTCAGGAATTAAACTGGGTCAAAATTTGAACCAAAAATCACTTAAACCCTTTGTAGATAAGGAAAAAACATCGGGTCATTTTGAGCCAATTGTTTGTTACAAAGGTGATTTAAAAATTCATGGTTATAAAACAACTGCCTTAACATCTATATGTAGAATTTACTCAAGAGCAACTTGAAGCATACATTTATCACCAAGACAAAAAATAATTGCTAAACAATGCTCAATATTATCCGAGTCAATTATGGATGTTGGTATCACAGCCTTAGTTGATGAAGCAACTGGATATAATAAAATCAGAAAAGAAACATTACAGGCAATACTAAATATATACATTTCAGAAAAGATTTTAGATTGAAAAAAAACTTTTCAAGATGACTTTTACGAAGAAATATTTAGGCTTTGAAACTTACCTTCTTCTGAAAGTGTAAAGAGACCTTCATTTATTGGTTAACAAATAGATATGTTTACGAAAACCTACCCGAAGGAGTTTTAGATGAGTTAAAGAAAAGAATGCCAAGAACAAAGGGAGGAAACTATAAAGATAGACTTTTCATCAATTACTAACCAATGAAACAGGAAAATTAGATTTAGAAAATACTCTTCGTTTAATAGTATGATTTCTTTCAGTTTCAGAAACTAAAGAAGAGTTTAAAAAGTTAGAAAAAAAATATCGCCTCAAAAAAAAGTCGCTTTATGCTGAAGTAGATAGGAAAATTGAAAAAGAGCAAATAAAAGAAGATTTTGACAAAAAGTTTAAGGCTTTATTGAGCATTCCTAAACCTAAGAAGGAATAAATAAAATCTTAAAATAAAACATTATGACATTACACTGTAATAACTGCAATTCTCAACAAGAGAGTTGAGCCGAACATCCTATTTTTTTTTCTTCAGAAGACTTTTATCGAGAATTAAGATGTCGAAACTGTAGTAGATGAACTTTATCAAGAGACATCATAAAAAATGGGGATGCTTCTTCTGTTTTTTTTGCTGTATCTAATCCCATAGGTTGAATACAATTAGGACTAAATTATCTCCCGCAATTATTATACGGCAAAGATTTGGAAAGTTGTATCCAAAGAGTAATTGGCAGTTCGGATATTATTCGAGGTGTAGTGCCTTTTGAAACTTGATGGAATAAAAACTTAGGAACAGTGATAAGTGGCAATTGTCCTTATAAACTTTGATTGGTAGTTTATGAACCAAAGCAAAGAAGTATGGAAGAAATCCTAAAAAGTTTTGTCATAAACGATGGCTATAACAAGTATAGTTTAGATAGTGTTAAAAGTAAGGCTAATAATGTAAATCATCGAATTTTTAGCCTAAATTGATCCCAACAAGTTAATGAAAGACCTAGTAAGGCTCGCGAGAATGCTCACCGTCAAGGAATTTGAGACTATGAAACAAAATGCCATGAATGCAGACAAGGAAGAATTAATAATGGAGAAAGTGGAAGTTTTGTTTTGAAAGACAGATTAGTTTATTTTATTAGAAGTCTTGTAACAATAGATAATTACCGTTCCCAAGAAATAGAAAGAAATTATCTCCAAGAAGTTCCACCAAAAGAAAATTGTCAAGTGATGTAACATGTATGGAGACCGAGGACAAGCACTTTTTGCTTATTATATTGAATTATCGATTTTCCAACTTTTTTTAATTGTTTTATTTTCAAGAATAATAGTTTTCACCTGATGAAGAAAACTCCGCTGATGAGATTTATTTTTAATATTACCACTTTTGTGCACCATTTTTAGATTTTGAGAATGGGTTGGTTTGCTAAAAGTAGAAAGTGGCACTTTGATGGCAGAAATTATGAAATCTCTCCTTTACTTTTCACTTGGTTCAATCGTGATTTATCTAGTGATAATTTTAATTCGATTTATTAAAAGTAGTGAATAAGAAAAGGAATTTTAAATTATAACTATTATTGTGACAGTAATTTTTGACTAGGAAATATAGGATGAGGGCATGGCATGTAAATAAAGTTTACAAAAATAGGTTGCTAAAATTTATTAAAAACGAGCATTAATTTTGCACATTGTAATAATATATTTCTCGAAAGGTTATTGGAAATTTTTCCAAAAGAGGAACAATTGGAAGTATTCTGGCGGAGTTAGATTTTGTGGACGAATTTTGGTGGAATAACCTTTTTCAGCAAAGTATTTTTCCAATTTTTCTTTGTAATTACCAACAAAACTATTCAGATTATTTAATAAAGTTTTTCGCCGAAACCGGAAACAATTTTTCAGGAAACGCAAGAAAGCAGCCAAGAATTCCTTCGACATCCTAGCATCCCGATGAGGTTCAATTGTTAATAAAGTTCCATCCACTGAAGGAGAAGGGATAAAAATTTGCGAAGGAATTTTCAAAGCAATCTTAGTTTTAGCCAAACAATTAATAAAAACCGATAGTGCTGAGTAACTCGAAGAGTACTTATTATCGGGTCTAGCCACTCATTTCTCTCCTACTTCTTTTTGAACTAAAAAAACCAAACAATCAAATAAATAATTCTCAAATAGTAAATTAACTACCAAAGAATTAGTTATGTAATAGGGCAGGTTACCAACTATTATTAAAGAACTATCATTATCTTTATACTGAGAGCAAAACTCAGGTCAGTTAATTTTCAAAGCATCTTCATAAATGTAGACAATCTTGTCATTTTCCTTTAATTGTTGAAATAAATCTCAGTCTTTTTCTAAACTGATAACTTTTCGGCAATTGGTCTTGGCTAAAAAGTTCGTTAAATTTCCATAACCACTGCCGATTTCAATTATTACTGTATTAGCTTTCACCGGAAAGCAATCAACTATTTTTTGGAGATAATTTTTTTCAAAAAGAAAATTTTGCCCCAATCTTTTCTTAGGGGGGAAAATCAAATTTGCCGGGATATTATCTTTCATTTTTTTTAGAAAAGAGGGTATATATCATTTTTTTCAAAAATATTCGAGACGGTTTTTAATAAAGAGTGCTAAAGTGAAAAAAATATGTATAAAACCAGCATTTTTCCCCTTTTGTTGGAGCGATCCCATTTACGAAAATGCAAATCGGATTACAAATGGTTCAAAGGAACTTTTTTTTACAAGGCTCAACAAATTTACAAAAAAACTAACGCTCATGCACTGGGAAATTCATTTGTCTTTTGAGAGGAATAAAAATTAGATCTAGATTCACTTATATCCTTAATGAGACTTCTCCAGTCAACCTTGACCTAAGACCTAATTTTCAAAAAGAAGCAAGGGACAAGTTGCTGCTTACATCACTAAACAAGCCAAAGGAACTACTAGTGCTGCTACTCCTATTCCTAAGGAAATTACCTCTATTCCGTGTTCTTTAGTTCAGTTTTTTCATTCTTTTCACTCTTTCTTTTTTTTAACTTGGTCCATTATTTCTTTAAAAGCAAATTCTTTTTCTGATTGAGTATTATCTAAATCTTTTTTCAGTTGTTTTATTTCTTTTTTGTTATTCGGTTTACCTTTGGCTTTATTTAATTTTAGCCCAAAAGTTAGCGGAGTTAAGAAAAACCCCTTTACCAGATAACTCTAATCTAGACTATTTAAAATATGTTTTTTGTGCTCTAATTACAGTCTATTTTATCTCTTTACTAAATACCTCTTGAAAAAATGAATAATCTTAGTAAAAGAGTGTAGAGAAGTGTTAGAAAAGTTAGAAAGAGTGTAAAAAAAAGAATTAAAAAGTAATTATAGAAGAGAATGACTAAGAAAAAGGAAGTTTATAGATGTTATTCACTAGAAAAACCGATAAAAATTAACGGAATTAGATTCCAAGGAATAGTTATTAGTTCTCATTATGAACAAAAGCATACTGAGATAAATGATAAATTGATATTAGAACTGGTTCAACAGTTGGATAACAAAATATTTGTGGGAAAAGCAGGAAAAGAGAATTGAAAATATTTTGAATTTGAACCTCTTTTTCATCAAAACAAAGCCTACCGACTAGTGTGGTGTTGAGACAGCAAACATTCATTCTTAGGAATTAGAAATTGTTTTCAAAGAAAAAAGTATGAAAAATAATTTAAGTAAAAAAAAATCCAAATTGATAAGTAATCCTTTTCTAGATGATAAGGACATAATTGAAAAATTATCTGATCCAAATTACGAAGGAAATCTCGGACTTCCGCTTAATCCTACTCCTTTACAAGTGGCTAAATATAATATTTGTCAAAGTATTCTTCATTATAAATTTGATAACGAAATTTCAACCGAAAAACTGGCGAAACAAATCCGATTAAGTGTTCCAGAAACTAAGGAACTTCTTTTTTGTCATATTCATAAATTTACCCTAGACCGCTTATTTTCTTATGCTTCTAATCTAACTATCCCTTTACAGATTAAGGAGACTAAGGAAAAAGTTAAACGGAATATTCTGCTTAGGAAAACTAGTGGTTCTCGTTTAAGAAAGCACACTTAATCTAAACTTATTTTTTTACTACCTACCAATTTAGATACCCCTACCTTTACATTTTTTTAAACATTAGAACTATGGGAAGAAACAAAAGAAATAACAAAATTAGTGGCAAATTCACTAACTCTGCCGACTTACAAAACCGCTTTTTTGCCGAAGGTAAAGAAAGAAGATCAAAAGGAGATAAAAGTGATGGTGACTCCGGTTATTGAACCGGTGGAAGATGTAACTGAGGTGGATCACATAACTTACAAGAGGATTGTGAAAAACTAGCGGAATTCTTCAATAATACTAATAGTATAGCCGATGATGTTAACGAAATAAAATTATCAGCCAGTGAAGAGATATTCAATCAGAAAAAGCAAGCACTAATTGGTGAAATCAAAAGTCTTAATAGCAAATGTAATGTTACAAGCACTTATTCAGTAGCAAGTGTCTGCTGTATTTGAAATGATTATTTTGGGAGTTTTTAAAACCTTTTCTAGAAACTTTTTCGACCAAATTAGCCAATCAATTGAGTGAGGTAGAAAAGTTGACACCCAAGCATCAAAAAGAACTTTTAGAACTAGAAAAACAAATCCAAGAATTGCAAAGTGCTTACGATGAAAACATTAGAAAAGCCAATGACCCTAATACTAGTGCAGAAGACAAAACCAAGTTTTTATTGTTGGCTGATGAAGCAGCAAAGAAAGCAAACTCGTTAAAATCAAAAATCAAAGCCAATCCCTTAGCCGACTTAAGCCGTTTCAGTAATTTAGATGATTTAACTATTCTTATAAAAGGAAATGTTCCTAAAAAATCACCTAGTTCAAGTAAATAATCAAAATCAAGAGGATATTATTGAAGTAGTAGATTTACAGAGTAGAGAAGAACTGCAAACTCAAATAGAACAACCACCTAAATAAAAAAGGGGAGTCTACCAACTTCCCTAATATTCACCAAAACACTCTAAAACTAAACACTTTTTCTAAGTAAAGTATCTAATATCTGAATATTTTTAAAATTACTTAGAAAGAAAAATCTTTATTGATGAACTACTTGGTCTGATCAACTATTAAAAGTCTTAACTCTCCTTAGCAAAGTAAGATTAGTTTATTTGTCTGATATTAACCCCAAGTAATTAGTCCTAAACTAATTATAAATTGAAAGTCAGTTAACTTTGAATTTGAGATCCTCATTTTCTAATTTGCTGGCTTCCGTTTTAATTGATAAAGTTATAATAGGATGAGTTATGAAAAATAAAGAAAAAAATTACGATCTGAATTTGGACTCATTAGTTCCATTTTTTTTGATAGATAAGGAAGAATTAGATAAAAGAGTTTGATTTAAAGGAAAAAAAGAAAAATACAAAGAAGCATTAGAAGCATGTTATGAATCCCTTTCGATATTTTCTAGGGACAGAGAAGAACTAATTAAATGAGAAAATGAAAATTGAATATGCAATTTGTTTGACAAAGAAATATGTTTCATTTTAGAAAAAGCAAAAAATAGTAAATGAAAAGAAATTAAATTTATCGAAAAAATTTTTCTCGCAGACTGGAACGACGAAAGAAATTCTTTTGAAGTTCAAATTAAAAAAATTCTTGAAATTTTCTTTAAGGAAAAAATAATATCTTCACCTGAAAACAGAAATAAATTTAAAATCAGGTTCTACGGAGAAAAAGAACAAGGCAAACCAGACATATCAATTATTCTTATAAATAACGAAAAAGTCAAAAAAGAAAATATCGTTGCTCTGGAAATAACTCAAGCCGACACTAGCCCTTACCTAATTAATAGAGGTTCTTTTCATGATTACTTAGATGATAAGATAGAAAAAAGAGATGAAAAAGAGGCAAAGAAAAAAATAAATGTTCTCCAAGACATCCCTAACGAAGAGTATTTACCTAATTTATTAAAGAATATGAAAAGCGCATTGATAAAGAAGAATAAGAAAAACTATAACTGTGGAAAAACCATAATTTGAGTTATTTTACTAGCATACTGTCATATAGAAATTGAAAATTCAAAAAATGAGGAAATAAATCATCTTGTCTATAAAAATAGGGATATTGATGAGATGGCATTCTCGTATTTTTTACTCAAAGAAATCAAAAAAATGTCTGAGGAATTAAAAGTTAGTAAGAAAAAGTTTGAATTTGATTATTTGATAGTTAAGTTTTCACAGGCTACTCAAAAGACAGAATCATGATACGATGGAAAATTCTATAAATTTAATCCACTTGTTAAAAGTATTTTGTATATTCCAGTTGCCTTGGAGCAAATAAAGGCTGAAGAACAAATAGAAAAAATTGAAAGGAAATACAAGAATGAATTAGAGGATTTAAAAATTAACACAATTAAATATGCAATTTGCCCTTGAAAAAAAGATTATGAAGATGAAGAGTAATAAAATAATCCATCCCTTATAACTATTTAACTCCTATGAATAACTCTAATATCTTGTTATTATATACTTATAGTTGCTTAACTTCATAATGAAAAATGTAATATTTTGTAGATTAAAAAGAAAACTTTTAAAAATTGAGACAATCAAACTAAAATCTGCTCATGACCATTACTGATCATTTACTATACTGGACTTTAATCAACTTTCTAAACTATTTTTGATGCTTTCTTCATCTTTAAGCAAAACAATAGCTTTTTCCTCAAATTTTTGATCCCTTCATTGCTGAATACTAACTAACAAAATATTTTTTTTTTCTGAAAAAAGTTTTTGGCAAATAGCCTGATATTCCAGTTTATATGTTTTGGCCAAAAATGAAGCATGATGCTCATTGCTAACCTTTAAAAGGAGGATTTCTCGAAAAACCAGCAGCAATTCTGTGTCAGAAAAAAAATTAGGTGCTTTATCTATTTCTTCGAATCACGCTTGCCTTTCTCTTTCAAAATTCTTATCACTTAGGTTGTTGTACCTTATCCAGGAAAACAAATCAACAAATTGCACATAACAGAGAGAAATTTTGTCACTCAGTATCATTATAGTTATTTATGATTTTAGACCTTAGGATGGTTTAACTTTCTATTAGACAAAAATGTAAAGTTACTAACTTTTGGCTAGGAGAATTTTCTATATTTTCCTGAAACTAGGGAAATTCTTTTTCTTTTACAAGTCTTTTAACAGGGCTATGTTTTTATTTTAGTAAGTTTTTTAAAGGGTGTGAAGAACGGAATTTCTGTATTATAAGACTGAATTATCATACTAGTAATTTAGGTGTTCCATTCAGGTTTTTTTAGGGAAAAATTTAATGACAATCTTTTTCTTCCATAATACAAACTAAATCAAGTTTACTAATATCTTTTTTCTTTCGATTAGGGTGACGAGCATGCTCAAAGTCCAAATGTAGAGGCCAAAATAAATGATTTCTTTCAGGATTTCTTTGGGAACTGTTAATTTTTCTCAAAATTCCAATTACTCTTTCTTCTTCTCCCAAAGATAATTGACAAATCTGACTAACCCTTAGCAAAGAACTGATATTTTTTCTATTTCAATGATACTTACTGATTTTTTCAATAATTAATTTCTTCTGCCTTTCATTAGTAATAAAGCGAAAATGTCGGTCATTATCTTTTAATTGCTCCAAAGTATGAGCCGAATATTCCACAAATTTTTTTAGTATTTTAGATAAAATACTGCGGGCTTTATTTTTTTCTAGGCGATTAGTAAAAGTTAGGTCAGCGATACATTTAGTAATTAGCCATTCAAAGGAAAATAACATAAATTACAAATTGCCGGCTAATTTTTGAGCCTTAAACTGTAAATCGCAAGTAAATAATTCTACTCCTCCATTTTTGTATTTTTGTTGATAACGGCGGCAAACATTTTCCAGGTGATGAATAATCATTTCATCAGTAATATCAGGAACTTGACGAAAAGTCGGCTTTTCTTTTTTTTCTAAATAAACAAAGACACTGGGAAGGACAGGAGTAGTTCCTCAGTCTTCAAATTCTTCTCTAAAAAGGCTAAGGTTTTCTTTTTTCAGTATTTCCCGGTAAGTTAGATAAAGGGCTGGATGAATAAAAGGCTGTTCTATTGCTCTTACTCCTAACTTTTCATGGAAAAATTTTACTACCGATAAAGGATTTAGATTTAATTGCTTTAATTTATTACTTCTAGTTGCCATAATGTTTACTTTCTTAGCCTCTTTTACTTTTCACTCTAAGTTTTCTAAACTTTCTTTATCACTAAAAAATAAAAAGAAGAGCAACAGTAAAAAACGCTTTAAAAACTTATTTTTGATTAGTTAAATACATATAAACTATTTTATTGTCCTAGGTTCATCATTAATTATTTTTGTGAAATTTTTCCTTATAAAACTCTAAATCCCTTGCGTTTTCTAATCCTTTCTTTCCTCAGGAAATGGTTAAAAATTTCTGTAAGTCCTTTAAGTTTTCAAATTTCAAGCGAAATTTAATATCAGTCTTCCCTTCAGAGTATAGCGAGTTCCTGTTTCACAAATCTAAAATCAATTTCCAGGGGAAGATTAAAATCACTTAATGACACTTATTTCTCAGATGGAAATTGACAAACTCCCCAACCAACCAGGTTGCTATTTATTCAGAGATCAAGGAGAAGTAATAATCTACATTGGTAAAGCCCAAAACCTTAAAAAGAGAGTTAGTAGTCATTTCTTAAAAAATTCTAAAAATTATTTTAGAAAGCAAATCCACAGTCTTAACATCATTGTTACTGATAATGTAAAGGAAGCTCTGATTTTAGAGCAAAATCTAATTAAGAAATATCAACCACGTTTCAACATTCTTCTTAAAGATAGTAGTTATTACCCTTATCTAGTAATCACCAACGAAAAAAATCCTCGTTATAAAGTGCTAAGGAAAATCAACTGAGAAAATCAGGGAGAGTATTTTGGTCCCTTTCCTGATGGCAGCAAGGCTCGAGAAATTTTACAATTGCTTGAAAGATTATTTCCGCTCGCCAAATGTAAAGGCAACTTAGGAAAACCATGCTTCTACTATACTATTTCTCAATGTTCCGGACACTGTTGGAAAGAAATAGATAAAGACTATTATGAAAATATTAAGAAAGAAGTAAGAAAGTTTTTCAGTGGTCAAACCCAAGAAATAAAAAAAAAAATTAAAAGTTCTTTATATAAAAATATTGCTAGTTTGGCCTTTGAAATTGCTCACAAGGAAAAAAAAATACTTGACAATATTGACTTTTTTACCAGCAAGCAAAACATTGACCTTACCAAAGCCGAAAATTGCGATTTTCTGGGAATATATAACCAAGAAAACATAGTAGTTTTTTATCTCTTTATTTATCGCTACGGCAAATTAAATGCCACTAACGAAGCGATATTTCCAGTTTGAACCGATCAGGGGGAAGTTTTAGAAACTTATCTTTATCAATTTTACCAAAATAATTTACCTCCCCAAAACCTCTATCTCCCCCAAAAAATGCCTGAAATTGAACTACTAGCCGAAAAGTTCAAATTTTTAGTTCAAACTCCTAGCCGAGGTCGGAAAAAAGAAATAATTAATTTAGCCCAAGAGAATGCTCGCCAAGTTTGACAAAGAAATTATTGAAATGAGTTCCAGCAAGCAAACAAAGGACAAATTTTAGAAGAAATAAGCAAATTCCTGCTCATCCCTACACCTAATTATGTTGAATGCTTAGACATTTCCAATCTTTACAAACAAGATACAGTGGCTGGTTTTTTGGTTTTTTTAAATGGAGAAAAGAATCTTGCTAAGAGCAAACTGTATAAGTTAAAAGGAGAAGAATTAGAAAGTGACCTTTCCCGAATAAAGACTGCTTGCCTTATGCATTATCAAAAATGTTCTCAATCGGAAATGCCTGACCTAATAGTAGTAGATGGAGCAAAAGAGCAAGTAAAAGCAGTTAAACAAACCTTAAAAGAACTAAAATTAGAAACTTGGGTAATCGGCCTTGCCAAGGATGAGAAACACCGAACTGCTAAAATAATTACTAGTAATTTAAAAGAATTAGGATTTGGAAATAAGGAAAAAGTTAAAAACTTTTTTACTAATTGCCAAGAAGAAGTTCATCGCTACGCCATTAACTTTCACCGTAAAGTCCACCGAAAAAGTTCCTTAAATTAATCTAATCTCCTTTATTATTCCTTTTTTAATTTTATCTCAACTAACTAAAAGTTCATAATATAACAAGAATTAGGATTTTTATAGTTTTCGCGTTAAGTTTAACACTGCTTTTGTTGTCTTCTTCCTATCGGCCTTGTGGATTTAGGATAAAAATTTTGGGTCGGAAAGTCAAGTTAAAGTGAGAGTTTCTATACTCTCATTCGCTACCCTTCGGAGCCTCCAAAGGAATGACATATTTCTCCCCCCTGCCTTTTCTGGCTACTCAGCGATCATGTAATAATAAACTGCCTCTTTCGTTTATTTCAGTCAAGTTATTTACCCATTCATTAAGTTCTTTCAAATTAGTTAGGTCAGGGAATCGCTTGCCCTCACTAATCAAGAGTCCATTAATATCTTTTTCAATATAATCCGAGATTTCCTCGAAAGTGCCTTTAGGGTAAGATTTTTTTTCTCCCGGTCTTCCTCCGCTCTGTAAATTATCCAGGGAGGCTATTCAGTCTATTTCGCCATTGGGTTTAAGTTCCAAGAAACTAATACTATATGTAAGAACAAAAAATTTTTCCCTCATTTTCTCAATTTTTTTTTCGAATTCAGACTGGCTAGGAGACTTAGTAAAAATAACCTCACCATACTCTTTAAAAACCTTGCTGAAAAGATTATTTTCATCTAATAGATTGGTGCTAAATTGTTTTTCTTGCTTTTTAATTTCGGAAAAGTTCAACCGTGAACCATCTTTGATTAGTTGCTTTTCTACTCCCTCTTCAGTTCATTTTTTCCCTCCGTGATGATATACAAATTTGACAAATTCTTCCTTAGCAAGTTTCTCGGAAGAGCCGGGCGGAAAGACAATTTGTCAAGTAGAATATTTGCTTTCAGGATCCACATATTTATTCCCATGCGGTCCACGGGGGTCAATAGAAGGGGAAGAAGTATCTTTTTCCCTTCAAAAGAAGAAAATTAAACCGGTTACTAATAAGCCGAAAACTACTAGACTAATAATAATTATAAATTTTCACTTCCTTTTCACAATAATAATACTAATAATTTTATGAAAATGTGAGCCACTTTATCTTTTAACTTTCTTATAATCATGTTTGTTAATATCAATTTCTCAGGCTTCGTTATTTTCTCAAATAAAAAATATTCTCCATTGACCGCTCCCGGCTCTAATATTGTAATGATTTTTAGTTCCTTCTCATTCTGAAAATCATTTTCCTTCCATGTATTCTCGGACATTTTTCTTAAACTTTTTTCGGTTAGTGAGCGAAGGCATATTTACGAACTTCCCGCTTTTCTTTATAAGGAACAATTTCTTCTTTTAACAGTTCGGTTCTTTCTTTTGCCACTTCTTCCTTATAACTTCTTTGTAGATTAAGCCAGAACTCAACTGTACTATTAAAATATAGGGCTAGTCGCGCTGCCAGGTCAGGTGTGATGTCTGCTCTTTCCTCACAAACTCATTTTACTTGTTCCTTAGGAACTTTTAGGCTAGGGCCAGTTCTTGGGGGCTGATATCATGCGTAATTAGCAATCTTTCCCGCAAAATTTCCCCTGGATGAATAGGTGGTAGTTTTTTTCTTTTTTGTTCTTTTTTCATAAAATATCCTTGATTCTTTATTGTATTTTTATATAGTTTTTTATCATAGAAGTGCTTTGTATAGAGTAATCTCTTAAAAAAAACCATAAAGCAAGGGGCGAGAATAATGCGGCCACACTAAAAGTTATATAATGTCATCTAGTTTTACACCATTATTCCAGAAGGATAATTTTATTTCTTGATATAGAGTCTAATTTGGTTCTTTTTTTTTTTTTTTTTTGAATTCTTTGGCTAAAAATCAGCCGCAGAAACCAGCAATTAAGGTCAATATTATTCCTCCTCCAATTAACCAAAGAAAACTTAATCATCCTCATTGAGAATTATTATTGCCTAACTTTTTGAGTCGCCGAATTTCCTCTTCCGAATTTTTAGAATTAGATTTTAATTCTTCATTTTCTTCTTTTAACTTTTTCAATTTTTTTTTTAATTTAGTTTCTTCATCTTCCTCTTCTTCTTTACTCGAGGCTTCAACAATTTCATTTACTTCTTCTTCATCAATGATAATTTTTTCCTTCTCTCCGCCACTTTTCAATTGCCGGGCTCATTTAGCAAAGCATCAGCGAATAACATCTTCTATTTTACTTTCTAATTGCCGGGCTCCCTCTTCATTAGTCTTGCTAACTAAAGCACGCAGGCCTCCCTCAGTCATTTCAAAAAGGTTCCTATTTTTGTTCTTAAACTTTTTCCGAAAAATTTTTTCAATTGTCAATTTACCAATTTCAATTTTTTCCGACTTGCTATATCCCTTCAACTCAATAATTTCCAAGCGGTTCTTTAGAGGTTCCGAGATTTTTCCTAACTTATTCGCAGTGCAAATAAAAGTAATACGACTAATATCAATTTCAACATTTAAAAATTGGTCCCTGAAGTTTCTGTTTCGATTAGAGTCAAGGACTTTCAAAAGAGCATCTTCTATAGCACCATGATGAGGGTCCTTACCTGGTTTTTCAACCTCATCTAGTAAAATTATCGGGTCGCAACTCTGGGTCTCTATGATAGCCTTAATAATCCCTCCTGGTTCGGACCCAGATCACACTTCATTTCCTCCATTGATAATTACCGAACTGCTAGCTCCTCCTAAGTCAATTCCAAAAAATTTCCGACCAGTTGCTTCCGCAAATTTTTGGGCGAAATGTGTTTTCCCTACGCCGGGAGGACCCACAAAGCATAAGGCTTTTCCTCCCTCCGAAACGTCAATATTCTCTGCTTTTCCAATCTCTTGAAGCAACAAAAGATCTTTTAGTTTTTGCTTCTGTTTAGTGAAGCCGTATAGTTCACTAAAAGCCCGCTCAATTTTATCATCACTTATTTCCTGGGCAAAACTTTGGGAATAACCTCCGATTACTGCCTCAACTAAATCTAACTTTCTCTTCAACAGTTCCCTAGTGACACTGAAAGGACCAGAAGCCGACTCATCTTCCAAAGTTTTTTTCAATGCTGTCTTTGCCAAATTTAACCTAACCAGACTTTCGTTGTAGTTCATTTATTATTAATTTATTATCAGATTTTAGGGAAATGTTAATATTGTTTTACACTCTCTTTAGAATTTTCTCGAGGGTCTTGGCTAACAGCCAGAATAATGATTCCTAACACTGAGATCGCTCCCACTATAATAATTCCTCAGGCTCAATTCGGTAGACCACCTGGGCTTGGTTTAGCATTACCATTTTGATTTATTTCTAAATCACTTTTTTGCTTCGCTTGCTGGTACCTTTCTCTTTCCTGGCTAATTTCAGTTAAAATTTGGTCAATGAAATTTTTATATTCCTTATAGATCTTTCCCTTTTCTTTACTCTCCGGGGCACTTTGAAAATCTTTTAGTTGTTTCTCTAATTCGACTAACTCTCGTTCATCATTATGATTCTTTATAGTTTCTGGAATTAGTTTTACCAAAGCACCTTTCAAAAAGGTTTTATTTTCGTCCGAGATATTTTCGTTTTGATCGATTTTGAAAGAGACTTTTTTTCTTTGTCTCAGATTATCAACAACCGTCCTGATTTTTTCGCCCTGCTGGAATAATTCACTGCTTTGAACTTGATTATAAGCCGTTTCTAATTCACTTTCACTCTTAGTTTCTTGGATTAGCCTTATTAACTCCTTCCGCGATTTGTCAGTTTTTTGGAGATGATTTAATGCAGTTTCGGCTTGCTGATTATAACTATTTACCGCTTGCCAGGCTTGATTTTTGATAGTTCCTTCTCCGGCCCTTTGATAACTTTGCAAAAAAGTTAATAAGGAAATGTCGATATCATCACTTACCTCGGCTTTTTTCACTTTTTTATATAATCTTTCGGCTAATTCAAGAGCCCTCACTGAATCTAAAACATTATTACTAAAAACTGCCTGAGCAGCAACACTATCTTTATATTTAGACTGTAAACTGAGTCTAAACTCAACAAGAAGGACTTGCGGGCCCTTTACGGTAAACTTTCCCAAATCAGCAATCGTCCGGTCTACCCAATTATTATCAACTTGATTAACAATAATATAAGCCTGCTTTTTGTCTCCTGTGCCATTTTGGTATTTTTCTTTTAATTGGTTAACTAAAATCATTTTCTCTAGATTGTTAGCCTCTTTAACAACTTTTTCCCCTTTGACCAGAAGTTTAATTAATTCTTTAGTTTTTGTGAGTAAAGAAGCGTTGTTAATTTGATTTCCGTAAACAGTAAAAACTTTTTTCCTTTCGGCATTTAATTGCCCTTGTCCGTAATCTTCATTTGCTGCGGCATCAATATCCGCAGAAAAAGAAATTTTTAGTCGGTCAGTAATTTCAGTCTTTTTGGCATCAATTTCTGCCGAAAATTTATTTTTAATGGCTACTCAGTCAGAATCATCAGTAATCAGATTTTCATAATTTTGCAAAACCTTTAAAGCGGCTTCGCAATTGGTCCTACTTTCACTGGTAAAAGAAGACTTGTCTAGCAAAGGCAATAAATCAACTAATTTATGATAGAGACCTCCAAACTTCTCATTAACATGACCAGGCATTCAAAATTTGTTCAACCATTTCCAGTAAATATCTCAATGCTCCTTTTTATTTTTATTACTCCACTCATTGAAAGCTATTGCCGAAAAAATAATTTCTTTTATTTGTTGTTTTTCACTTGCCTCTTCTATTTTTTTGCTTTCATAACAACTTTTAAGTTCATAATAAGTGCGGGTAAGTTCTTTACCAAATTCTATTTCCCAGAAGTTCCCTTGTTGATCTTTAATATCCCTCTGATGAAAAACACTACAAAATTTAGTACCTATCTTTTCAATATCACCAGGCCGAAAACCAAGGAAATATTTAGGGTTGTTTTGGTCTAGATTATTCGGAAATAATTCTCGAAAATTGTCGATATTTTTTCTAGTATAGCGGTTTTTGCTTCCGGCGGAGAAGAAAAAAGAAGTGGGAACAGAGGAAAATAAATTTGAACTTAGGGTTACTAAAGTTTGATATTTTTCCCCATTTCCAATATAAAAACCTTTATATTTTCCTTCTTCACTAATCAAGGTTTCCACGCCTGGGTCATTATCAATGTCAAATCCATTTTCTTTGGCTGCTCAGATCCCGGCAATAGTTTTTACTCCTAAATCTTTTCAATCATTTAAGTTTTGAATTGCTTCTAAAGCATCTTGACATATTTTTCTAACTTCTTCCTCATTGTTATTAATATTTTCCAACTCTCAAAACTCACCTCTTTCGTCAAAACCCGAGTTAGCACGACTTCATTCTTCAATTTCGGCAGCCAAGTTACCAAGTTCTTCATCCTCTATACTCTTGATAATTTTTCAACGCAGGTCTGAAAATTGATTAAAAATTTCACTTTCATTTTCTTGTTTTAACTCAATTGCCTGTCAAGAACGAAAAAATTTTTCTCCTCCTCTGGTTTCAAAAACTTCTACCTCAAAATCTTTTTCGTACAAAAAAAGACTCCTCCCTCCGCCTCCCAGACCAATTAAAATTCCTTTCTCCTCATCGTATTTTAAGTTTTTAATAGTAAATTCGATCTCTGCTTCGCCACTTCTATTTTTTCAGGCTCAAGAAATAGGAATATCAAAAGAGCCAGAAAAAATTCTTATCTCTTTAATATCTACCACTAGAAGTCCAGTTTCACTAACAATGCCGACACTATTACAAGTTTTAAGTCAGGAAATATTCCCTCCGGTTTGGTCTTTTATTTTCAGGCTGAGGCCGGTTGGCTTAATAATTCTGTGTTTAGGAAGAGTATCAGCAGGTCCGCCAGTAGTGCTATCTTTATATCCGTCCCTATTGATTTTTAAAGTAAGATCTAGAAGTCTCATGAGAAATTTAAATTATTGTTTGCATAATAAACTTTGAGGATAGTAATTTTTAATCAGGTTAAACTTTCCTAGAAGCCTATTGTATTAATTTTATAGTTTTTGAACGTTAAAACTATTCATCTTTTGGAAGATTTTCTCTACTCACTTCTCTCTGAATGTAAATTTTCTCTAAAACTTCCGACCAAAAAATCTCTTTTTCCAATTTTTCTACTATTTCTTTTCTAGGCTTAGTCACTGGATAACGCGGTTCGAACAAAGAACAGCAATCATCATAACTTTTTAAAGACAGGTCATAGGTTCCTATCTTTTGGGCTTCAGCGATTATTTCCTTCTTATCGTAACTAATTAAAGGAGTCAACAAGTTGATTTGTTTGTATTTTTCTTCTCTCATTTTCCTAACTATCTTCTCTAGTTCTTGACATTTACTTTTTATTAACCTTTTTAACTTAGAAAGAGGATTTGGTTTTTTAACTAGTCCTAAACTCTGCCCGAGGCGGCGAAAGAAACTATTTTTTTTATCTTTATCATTAGTTGTTTCTTTTTCTAAATTATGGTTCAATTCGGTTATTTTTTGGGCTAAAGTCTCTAATTTTTCAAAAGCGCTTATAGAGGCTTGTTGAATAACTGCTAAACTTTCGAGAGTTTGAGAGGCCACTTGAGCTAAGGAATCACCAGTAGCCAGGGTAGTAATCGCTAATTTTTCAGCCAAAAAACAAGCACAGCGAATAAACATTCTTTTCAGAATGATTAGGCGGTATTTTTCTTGACTAATATGACTAATTTCAGTAAAAAGAGGCTGGGCATTGACTAAGTAAACCTGCTTAGAAAAATTGTTATAAGGACTTAACTTTTCACTCAGAGCAGATATTTTTTCTTGGCCCTCTTTTTGGTGATAAAAATGCAAATAAACAACTTCTAAACCTCTTTTCATTAGTTGATAGGCTGCCACCGGTGAATCTATCCCCCCACTAAGCAGCACTAAAACTTGACCAGAACTCCCCACCGGTAATCCCCCTAAACCCTTAATTTTTTCGCTGAAAAAAAGAATAAACTGTGGATAAATCCGAATATAAAAAGTCTTTTGTGGATCACTTAAATCAACTTTTAAGTCATATTTTTTTCGAATAATTTCTCCTAATTCTTTCTGAAGAGTCAAAGAATTTTTAGGAAATTTTTTATCGCTCCTTTTAACATCTAAACGAAAGGTGGTAAAATTTATTCCACAGTAATGAGAAAGATTATTTGCCAAAGAAAGTAAACTCTCAAAACTGCTTTCTAGTTGATAGGCTAAAAAAAAATTACTGATACCAAAAACATTTTTTAGATAGGGTAAAAAATTACTTAGTTCCTCTTTCTTTTCTGCTGTGATTATCAAGGAATCAGATACTACTATTTTTAAAATTTTTGTCCGCTTTTTTACTAGTTTATATTTTAATTTGTACTCAAAATTAAAAAAATCATTTTCTTGGGCAGTTTTTTTTATATTGCTAACTAATTTTTGAATAAACTGGGACCGGTTTTTTCCTTTTAAAAACAACTCTCCATAGCGAACAACTAAGCATTGATTATTCATTTAACTTTTCTCCACTTATAAACTATTTTTAATCTTACATTCTCCTATCTGAATAAGGTAAAACAAAAAATAACTATCCAAAAGCAAGTAAAGTAAAGAACACAATTAAAAATCATTTAATTAATTTCAAGTGATTATTATTCTCCTTATTTTGCTTATTTTTAGATGCCTTTCTTTTACTAATGGAAACAAAATAGTATGTAAATAAAATTCCTGCTACACACCAAGAACAAATGCTCCTATTAGAAGAAAGTATAACATAAAAAAGTTAAAAGTCTCTTTCTCGCAATTCTCTCTTTATTTCTTTCTCCTTAACTTTCTCCTTTATTTGGTATTTTCGCAAACGCTGGGCCAGAGCAATCTCTAACTTCGCTCAACCCCTATCATTAATAAAAAGTTGGAGCGGAACAAGCACATAGTTTTTAGTTCTCATCGCTCTGACTACTTTGTTAATTTCTCTTCTTTTAAGCAGAATTTTTTTCATCCTTTGCGGGTCATAAACTTTAGTTAAGTCCTTAGGATTAGAATATTTATAAGCCGCAACAGGCATACTTATAACATATAACTCCCCTTTCTGTGGCAATATATAAGCCTCATTAATCGAAACCTGATGACTACGCAATGATTTTATTTCATTGCCAGTCAAAACAATTCCGGCAATGAATTTGTCAATTATTCTGTAATCACGAAAAACCTTTTTGGCTTGTGCAATTATCTTACTCTTCATTATTACTCTAAATAGAAATAAATTAAGTTAAGCGAATCACTAAACAAGCCAAAGAAAGTAAACTAACTTATTATTATTTCAACTACTTTTTTTCCTCTTTCACCTTCTTCATACTCTATTTCCGCTTCTTTTGCATTTTCTCAGTTATTCACTAAATCATTTCATCCTTCTTTAACTGCTTTTTCAAAGCAAAAATAAGCCTCATCTAGATTATCTTTATTGACTATGACAAAATAAGTATTAAAATTTTTGTCTTCTTTTTTCTTCACTGAGATATTATCTAACTTTACCTTTTTACTCTGTTGATAACTGTTATTATTCATATTTTTTTATTTTACCCAATAATTTCTAAAACTGTTCCTTGCCCTATTGTCGATCCACCTTCTCGCATAATAAATTTTTCTTTTTCCTCAATAGCCAACGGCTTAATTAATTCAACTGTGAACTCAACACTATTTCCTGGCTTTACTTCTTCATCCTTATTTTTTAATGATATTGTTCCGGTTACATCAGCAGTCCGAAAGTAAAATTGAGGTCGATAACCACTTCGGAAACTAGTGTGTCTTCCTCTTTCTTCTTTGCTTGATATATAAGCTGTAGCAGAAAATTTATTACAAGTCTTAATTTTTTCTTTTAACTTTTCTGCCTCACTTACTTTGGAAACAAGTTGTCCTCTTTCCACTTCATCCTTTGCAACTCCTCTCAATTTAATTCCTATACCATCGCCTGGTTGAGCTCCTTCCTCTCCTAATTCTTTATTATGCATTTCCAAACCAGTAGCAACAGTTTTTTTTGTTGGTCTTCCTAGCCCCGATATTTCTATCTCCTCGCCTTTTTTTAATGTACCTTGTTCTACTCTTCCAGTTATCACTGTTCCTACTTTTTCAATAGAAAATATATCCTCAATATACATTTTGAAAGGGGCATCTACATTTCGCTCCGGAGTAGGGATATGTTTATCAACTGCTTCTAACAATTCGACAATTGCCTTTTCTCCTATTTCTGAATTTTTTCCTTCGAGAGCACACAAAGCTGAACCACCAATCATAGGAGTTTTTTCAGCATCATAACCAAGTTTTTTTAATTCATCTTTAATTTCATCCTTTACCAATTGTATTTGATCTAAATCTAAAACTACATCTACTTTATTAATAAAGACTACTATGTATTTAATTCCAATTTGTTTTGCCAGAAGTAAATGTTCCTTAGTTTGATTCATGGCTCCATCTTGTGCTGAACAAATCAGTATTGCCCCATCCATCTGAGCAGCTCCAGTAATCATATTTTTAACATAGTCAGCATGTCCCGGACAATCAATTCAAGTATAATGCCTTCCAGCAACTTTAGTTCCTTTAGCATCAGTTCTATCGCTAGTTTCAAACTCAACATGTGAAGTGCTAATCGTAATTCCTCGACTTTTTTCCTCAGGAGCCTTATCAATTTCACCATAATCTTTAAATTTGGCTTGCCCTTTTGCCGCTAGATATTTAGTTATCGCAGCAATTAAGGTAGTTTTTCCATGGTCGACATGACCTATACCACCAATATTTACATGAGGTTTTTCCCTACTAAATTTTTTCTTTATATTTTCTGCCATAAATTAAGTTTCATATATTATTAATTTTAGGGTTATTTTATATTCTTTTATGTTATACGTTAATATTCTTCTCTCTTTTTATTAGCAGCAATAGCAACAAGAGAAATAAGAATAATCGCAATTGTCGCTGCTCCTACTCCTATGGCAATAGAAATAATCAATTTTTTATTTGAATCAGGCTGATTTTGGGAAGGGTTATTATTTTTTCTCTTTTCTTCTAAATCTCCTCGAATAATCTCTAATAAACGCTTATAAGTACCTTCTTGGGAAGAGTTAGAAGTTTCCCCCAACAACCTTTCTAAATCCTTCACTTGCCTTTCTAATTCTTTAATTTCTCTTTCTAAATTATTCTGATAACTAGTTGGCGGAGGAGTATTTTGACTTTCGGCTTGTTCTTTCAAACTAATTAATTTTTCTAACCTACCTATGTAGTCTTCGGCTAAGAAATCAAAATCGCGTGGAATGTCTTGGTCCTCCTTGATAAATTCCTTATATTTATCCCCAATAATTTTTTTTAATGCCTCTCAAAAAACAATATTCGTAATTATAATTTGATAATCATCTTCATCAGCATAAACAAGAATAGAAGCACGTTTCTCAGGGCTTTTTAGAAATTCTTTTACCTTTTCCATTCTTTGTTTCAGCAATGCCAAGTCAGGAGGAGAATTAGGGTCATAGTAACCATTAGCAATACAGTGTTCTTTTAATCTTTGGAAAACTTGTTGCTTTCATTGATTATAAGTTAAGCCCCCTAAGCCATTTAAGGATTTATCGGCTACGATAATTTTTCCCAACCCTTCTACTCCGAAAAAAACTGATTCTATTTCGCCTTTATCAATATAAACTTTTAATAATGCTAAAAGCTCTTTAAAATCCTCTTCTTCTTGTTTGTTCCTAAAAAGCAGATGTCCACTATTTAGAATTAATTCTAATCCTAATTGCCTAATTTTTCCACTCCAGTCTTTAAATTCAATTTCAGTTATTTTTCCATTCATTTTCTATATATATATATATATATATATATGTTTTAAAACAGTTAAGCAGTCACCCAACAAAAACTTAAAATTAAAAATTTCGTAAACAACTGAATAACCACTTCTATTTATTATTTTACAATTTTTTTTAAACGCTGTTTTACTATTACTTTATTTAACATTATTATAACTATTTATCGTTTCCCTCCACTTTATCCTTCTTTTTTTCTACAACTCTTTCCCAATTTTTTGAACTCTGGATACTTTTTCAAGAAAAATAAGTATAAAGCACCGCATAGATAATGCTGATAACAAGAAAAAAAATGGTTAGCGGTTTGCAACGCTCTTCCGGAGAAACTAAATTAAAATAACTGCCTATAACAATAAACGGCATGGCTAACCCAGCAGCAATAACAAAAAATAATTCCAAAAAATCACCTATCTTCATAACTCCTTTTCCGTCTTTTTTCACAACGCGAGTGTTATTAAAAAAAGCACTATAACATTATTTTAGGGCTTAAATTATTAAAATATTATTATAAATGGCATAAATATCATATTATGGGAAACTGGTATTGTAATAATTGTAAATCATATGAAGATAGTTGGGCGGAACATCAAAGTTACAAATCTGATGAAACCCACCGCCGAGATATAAGGTGTTGAAAATGTGATAAAGCCAGTTTAATTTACACTGATAGCCAAAAAGAGAGATATAAAGAATTAGTTAAAGAAAGAACCTCTATACCTGGAACTATTTGTGAAGTAGAAAGGTTTTCTACTTGATGAAGTAATAATATTGCTGCTGTAACCAATTATCATAATGGTTACTATTGAGTATTTTTATTAGTCTACGATAAACAAAGTGATACAGTAAAAGTATTTCCTGAGGATATTTCTTGTAGACGTTGAGGTGATTGGGAATTTAGTAGGTATAATAAGTGATGGTCTGTATTGGCAGCAAGCGGGGAAGTAAGTTTATTGATAATGGAATTAACTGAAGAAGGAGGATATAATATTCCTATTCTTTTTTTTCATCCTAATCTTAATAGTTATCATTCTTTTGAAACCTTTTGTTAAAGAACCCTACATAATAAAAAGATATTCAACTCGTTCTCTCAAACCTCTTGATATTGTTAAAACATACACTACAAAATTTGTTTTTGGTTACTATCATGCAGGGGTTTATTTAGGTAAAATAGATGAAGAGTTTAAAGTTTGTCAGTTTACTAGTAAGTATAACAATACTACTATTGACCGATGAGGTCTTTTTTTAGAAGGAGAAGTAATTGGTTATCATCCAGTTATTCCTTTTAAAAATTATAAGAATATATGCGAGCAGGCAGTATGAGCCAAAGATAATGGTTTTCGGCAGTTTAACTACAATTTTCGAAATAGAAACTGTGAACACCTAGCAAATATGCTGGTTTATGGAATTAATTATTCAGAGCAAATAGAGAATAATAAAGAAAAACTTACTGCTACATTTGGCATTACAGGTGGCATGGCTGCAGGAAGTTGGATAGGTTTAGGAGTTGCTGGAGTTACTAGTTCTCTTGTTTTCGCTGGTCCTACTTTTGGTTTATCTTTAATTTGGGGAGCAGCCTCGGCTGGACTATCAGGAGCAGGGTCTGTAGGCGCTGTGGCAGCTTCTTATGATTTAAGTGAAGTAAATAATGGCAAAGGTTCTACCATTAATTTAAAAAATGAAATAAGGGATACCGATAGTCAGTTAGGAAAAAAATCTGACTGAGAGACCGAAAAATATGAAAAGCAGTATTTATTAGAAGTTTCTCCTAAGGAAAATTGTATAATAATGTAATGCCTCTTTGATTTTTCATATTATTTTTCATATTAGTTCCTTTTATTCCTTTACTTTATTTTCCTCTTGCTATCTTTTTACCTAAAAAATACAAAAAAAAAGTTTTTATTGTTTTTTTCTGCCTATCAATTATTATTTTTAGTTACTTTTTTCTAGTGTTTCTTTATTTAAATAAGTCTGATAAAGTAGGACTTGCTACATTTTTTTATAGATTTAGTGCCTCAATTTCATTCTTTTCATTATTTTTTCTTGTACTTTGTTTTTTTAATAAACTATAAGAAATTTTGATAAAAAATGTATTAATGCCCGAAAATAAAAAAAGTTATTGATGGTGAATTCTAATCATAGGTTCTATCTTGCTAGCGACAGGAATTTTTTTCTGGGTTAAAAGTAAATCCGAACCGGAATCACTTGAAACATTAACTATTCAACCAACTCAAAAGCATACTTCCACGGTTATTTTTCTCCATGGTCTAGGAGGGAACGCCGCAAAAAGAAAAGACAAAACCGAGTCAATAGCCAAAAACTATCCACATACCAAATTCATTTTTCCCAAAGCACCAATCATTTCTATCAGCATGAACTCAGGTTGACCAATGCCGGGCTGGTATGATATTAGAGGCAATAGAAATGACATTATGAACCTAAAACAGGATAAAAAAGGCTTGTTGAAATCAGTCAAACAAATTGAAAAAATTATTCGTGAGGAAATAAACTCCGGCATTTCACCCCAAAAAATCATGGTTATGGGTCATTCACAGGGAGGTTCAGTAGCGTTAGCGGTGGGTCTGCTTACCGAGTACAAGTTGGCCGGAATTGTCTGCCTCAGTGGTTTTCTCCCCTGCCGCGAAGAAATATTCAACTGAACTGAAGAAAAGAATAAGCAAATTCCCTTTTGGCTTTATCATAATTACAAAGATGACATAGTTCCGGCTTGAGTTGGAGATGAATCGGCCAAGTTGCTAAAACAAAAAGGCTACCAAGTAAAATTTGATGACCGTTATAATGGCACTCACTTTTTTAGTTCTGATGAGTTAACTAAAATAATTAGCGAAGTGTTAACTAACTTAACTAAGAGTTAAAATTCAAATATAGCATGAAAATTTTAGCAATTGGCGATATATTTGGCAAAACTGGCCGAGAAATTATTAAAAATTACCTCCCCCAACTGAAAAAGGAAGAAAAAATCGACTTAGTTGTCGCTAATGTGGAAAATACTACCCACGGAAAGGGAATTTCTTACAAACACTACCTGGAATTAGAGAAATACGGAATTGACATCATGACTTCTGGTAATCATATATTTAACCTAGAAGAAACTCAAAAAAATTTTGCTAAGTTTGAAAAACTAATAAGACCATTCAATTCTAACCCTTATCATCCTGGTAAAGGAACTACTACAAAGGAAGTAAATAACAAAAAAATCCGAATTACTAATTTATTAGGAACTACTTTTATGCCAATGGCAGCAGAAAATCCTTACTATGCCCTAGAAAAAATTTTAAAAGGTTCGGAATTTGAAAAAAGTGACATCCATCTAGTTGATTTCCATGCTGAAACCACTGCAGAAAAAAATGCTTTGGCTCTCTGTTATGACGGAAAGATTAGTGCTTTATGGGGAACTCATACCCACGTCCAGACCGCTGATGAAAGGATATTAGACTATGGAACTGCCTTTATTACGGATTTAGGAATGACTGGCCCAGCCAAGGGAGTTATCGGTGCTGAACCAAAAGCAATTATTAAGCGAGCCAAAGAAGGTTTACCAGCCAAAATGGAACCCCATGAGGATAAAGAAGACAAAGGACAATTTAACGGAATAATTATTGAGTTTGATGATGTCAGTAACCGAGCAATATCCATTAAAAGAATTAGAAAACTTTTTTAATAGATTTCTTATTTCTGCCATGAGTTAACAATAAGTTTATGAAAAAAACTAAAAAACGCTTGCAGCAACTTCCTTCTCAACAACTTTTACAAGAAATTCAGGAGTTTATTGCCACTCGATCCAACCATAAAAGCGAGCGAAAAAGGTGGATTCACTACTGTTTATTTCTTTTGTGTTGAAAAATTGGTTTACGAGTGAGCGAAGCAATTAACTTTAACTTAGAATTAAAACACCCTGAACCAGAATATAGCGAATTATATTTGCTACGTGGAAAAAGAGGAAAAGATCGCTATGTCTATATTTCACCTGAAATAGTAGAAACATTAAAAAAACATAATTGGGAACCTCAAAAAACTAGCCGCCGAGACTTCTGAGAGTTTTTAAACCGGGTTCGCTATGACTTAAATATTAGTGTTAATATTGAACTAGCCCCTCACACCCTACGGAGATGCTTTGCTACTTACAATCTGCTGGCTGGAATGCCTTTAAATATCCTTCAAAGAGTTCTCGGACACAGTCGAGTTTCCACTACTTCTTTATACATCAAAGACAGCGACCTAGCTAATTTGCTAAAATTCAAGCCTATCAACTAAAAATGACAAAGAATTCAAGAAAAGAAATCATTTTTGCAATTAGCGTAATTATTAGGATAGTCTTCTTGACAATAGTCTTTTTTTTACTAAAGCCGAGTAAAGGAAATAACAGAGATATCAAAACTCCGTCATTCCCGCCTTATGAAGAACAAGATGAGTGCCCTTATAATGAAAAGAGTATGACTGGAACTCTTAGTGATGATGGCTATAACTCTATGAGATGGAGAATGGATGAATATGATTTAGTAAATAATAGAGAAAAAATTAAAGAAGTAGAAACAGAATTTGAAGAAATTACAATTAGTATTATTATCCAAAGTGGCTTCTAAACTATCACAGAAATTAGTGAGAGTAGCCATTGATAATTTGCCATACTCATTTTGTTTATTAGTTTTAACTTTAACTAATAAATTATCATTCTCCGTTATATTTTGGTCTAACCAGTTTTTAATTTTTATTTATTGCTTCATTTATTTGGTCTTTCATGTGTGGTATTTTACCAAAAGTTTCTTTCATAATTCCCAAAATTTTTTGCTTATCCTCTTGTGAAATGTTTTTATTATTTCTTATCTCATCTATCTTTTCTTGTAAATAATTATCACTTAATTTCTCTAACTTTCAAATCTCCTTACTTTCTACTTCGCTAATGACATAATCAGCAGCAACAAGACCTTTTAAATTATTTTTCACAATTTCCAAAGCGAGACAAAGAGGTTCAATGGGATTAGTCCCGTAAATTGGAGGATAGGAATGCTTTGTATATGAAAAATAAATTTCACAGACATAACTATTCCAACCAAACTCTCTAACTTTGTTTATTCTTGGATCACTAATAGAAACATACTCCAAATTTTCCTGATTATCATTTGGTTTTTTTAGTAAAAATTGCATTTTAATCATTTTCTTGTGAAATGTTTTTATTTTTATTGACCACGAGTGCCACAATTAATACAGCAAGCAGTAAAAATACCACTAACGGTAAGCATGCAACCGGCGTAAACAATAGGATTATAAACTGTTACCATAGTACATGCTTTTGCTCCTGTGGCTTGTACTGCAATACAACCTTGAACACATGGAGTAACTGCTTCTACTTGACTATTAGGATAATTATATGCTACAGATAATGCCACCATAGGCACTAATAATTTATTTATTTTCATATTTTTTTATATTATATTTCTTATATTTTTTTGCTATTTTTAACCCATATAGCACGGACACCTAATAATTTAAACAGCATTAGATAACTGTTTCGCTAATTACCTTTATAGTTTAAATATTCAAGCAAGTAGTAATTAGTAAGAAACCTACTGGAATATTCTTTTTCCTTATTTTGTTTCGGGGTAAAGTCTGATTATTATAACCAAATTGAAAAGGACGAAATTATCAACTTACTTCTTTATCAAAAATTAGTCTCTCAGTAAGTTCAAAAAACCTTTTCTTAATTTTCTTTGGTCATCCTTAAATTTGTTTTAAGACTTTTTTCAAGAACTTTGTTGTTTTTAACTTTATATAATTGTAAAAATGTATCCATTGCTCCTTGTTGTAACTTCCTTATACTATTAACCAGTATATAGTATTTTGAGCAGAGTGTTTATTTATCAAGTTTAATAAGTTAGAGATAGAAAATAGAAAACTGAGGTTCGAATCATTTAGTCGGATAATTAAGTTCGCTATTTTTTACATTAATTATTTCAAAAATGATACAATTTAGAATTTTATAGAACAATATTTGCAAAAATGAGTTGCTATAAATCTATTAGAAACAAGCAAGGATTTTCACATTGTAATAATTATTTTTTGGTTGATTAGTATCCATCAAAAACTTACTCAAATTCTATGTTTTTTTTGTTTTTAAAATATTCTTATGGATAATCCTTCCTCTCCAAAAACTTTTTCCCTATATTCCTGACTACTAAAGAAACTTCGTAATAAATTAATACTTTGATATTTTTTTACTGCTGTTTTAACCTCAGAAGGTGAAAAGTTTGATTAAGTCCAACTTTCAAAAAACCCATCAATCTTTTCTAAAAAAAACTCTCTCTTGCCTGCCAAACCTTATTATTCCTGGACTAGGAATTCTTTTTTGTTTCTTTTATAGCATGCACGAGAATTGAGAAGTAAAGGAGTTTGTGCGGATAGGCTCAATCGCTATTTCTATCCAGACTATTTTTTGAAAAGTCAAAGATATTACCGATAATTTGCCGGAGATTGGTAAAATTAAAATCCATTATAAACCTTTACAAAAAGCAATCAGTAAAACTGAGGAAAAGAAAAAATAAATTAATTGTAGGTGTAATCCTCGCGATTCCTTTATTTAAAAACGGTCCCAAACTTTCAAGGTGCGCTCAAAGGATAAATATTGCAAAAAAAGTGAAAAGACTTGAACAGCCGGTTTATTCCAAATAGTTTTCTAAAATAAGGCCGAAAAAATATTTTTTATCAAAATTAGTTTGAAAAACCGGCTAAAAAGTTATTTTAAAATCTGTTGCCTTCTGCTACTTTTTCTAAGTCTAAAAGAGCATTACGAAAGGCAATGGCTTGGTCGAATTTAAACTCCCGAGTAGATCTTTTCATTTGCCGCCGCAAATTCTTAATTAACTTGGCTAATTCTTTTTCGGCAATCTCTCCTCGCTGGGCCTTTTCAACTAAAACTATTATTTCAGGGTCTAGAACTATGTCGCGAACTGGTTTTTGCACGGTTTGAGGAGTAATATCATTGAGGTTATTATGTTCCTTTTGAATTTTTCTCCTTCGGTTAGTTTCTTTAATGGCACCATTCATGTTACTAGTAATCTCATCTGCGTAAAGAATGACCTTACCGCTACTGTTCCGTGAAGCTCGCCCAATTATTTGAATTAAAGAGCGAGTATCACGCAGAAAACCGGGCTTATCAGCATCCAGTATACATACCAAAGAAACTTCTGGCAAATCTATTCCTTCCTTTAACAAGTTAATCCCGACTATTACATCGTATACTCCCCGTCGCAGACTGGTAATCGCCTGATAACGCTCAAAAATTTCCAAACGGCTATGCAAATACACTACTTTAATATTTCTTTCTTGGAGATAACTAGCAATATCCTCTGACATGGCAATAGTTAAAGCGTAAATCAGTACTTTTTCCCCTTTACTACTTCGCTTTTCTATTTCTTGCATAATATCAGCAATCTGGTTGCGGGAAATCCTCACTTCTATTTCGGGATCAAGTAATCCGGTTGGACGGATAATTTGCTCAACTGGTTGATAATTTACTTTGGCTAACTCAAAATCTCCTGGTGTAGCTGAGACATAAAGAGTATAGTCAACCTTTTGAAAAAATTCCTCTTGGCTAAGCGGACGATTATCAAGAGCCGAAGGTAAGCGAAAGCCATATTTTATCAATGTTTCTAACCGGCGGCGGTTAGTATTATACATACCTTTTATTTGCGGAATAGTAATATGTGATTCATCAATAATAGTCAAAAAGCCCTTCGGAAAATAATCTAACAATGTGAAAGGAGTTTCTCCAGCCTCTCTTTTGTCAAAATAGCGAGCGTAATTTTCAATTCCTGGACAAACTCCCATTTCTCGCAGATTAAATAAGTCTTCTTGAACCCTTTTTTCTAACCTTTCAGCCTCTAGAAATTTACCATCTTTTTTCAAACTCTCCTTTCTCTCTTCCAACTCTTCAATAATTTTAGTCAAAATTTCAACCAATTCTTCACCCTCTTCTCCTACATAGTCCTGACTAGGCGGGATAGAAACTTCCAGCAACTCTTGGTTTATTCCCCCAACTTGCTTACTCTTTTTTTCTATTTTTTGGATCTTATCCTCATTGACATTTATCTGAAAGTAATAATTTTCTTCCCAACCTAACATAAAGAAAATTTTGTCCTCCTCCATTTGGTAACACCCAGAACTAATTTTCTTGTCATTTTTGTATCCCAACAAAATTAATTTTTCTCTGATTAAATCTGAGTCTATTTTTTGACCTTTTTCTAAGTGAACGACCACTTTTCGATAAGAAACAGGGTTAAAACAGCCATAAATAGCAGCTACCGAAGCCACGACAATTACGTGATCATCAGTAACCAAAGAATTTAAAGTTTTCAGTCGCATTTTAGCAATGTTAGCGTTGCGCTGAATTTTTTTCCCGATATACAAATCGCTGGCTGGTTTGTAGGCTTCCGGCTGATAATAATCAAAGTAAGAAACATAATATTCCACCCTATTATTTGGAAAAAAGCCCTGCATTTCCTGAAAGATTTGCATGGCTAAGGTTTTATTGTGAGCCAAAACTAAGGTCGGTTTTTGGGTCTCCTTAATAATGTTAACCATAGTAAAAGTTTTTCCGGTGCCAGTGGCTCCTAAAAGTACTTGCTCTTTTTTTCCTTCCCAAATACCTTCAACTATTTTTTTAATGGCATTAGGTTGGTCCCCTTTTGGCTGAAAATTAGAGTTTATAGTTTGAAACATGCTATAAGTTTTTTTAGTTAAATTTTCTTCTCTTCCAAAATTTTATTTATCGGGTTCTTTTTTTTGCTTATTAGAACTAGGAACAATTTTATTATTATTCTTATATCTCTTTTCTTTCTCTTCAGTCTTCTGATAACTACTTTTTTCTCTTCATTCTCTAATTTTTTGATGGTGACCGGAGAGCAAAATCTTTGGAACTTCCAATCCTTCATATATTTCAGGACGCGTATAAGTAGCAAAATCCAATAAAGAATCAGTAGTTTCCTGCTGATAAGATTCAGGATGAATAGCACCAGGAATGGCCCTAATTAAAGAGTCAGTAAGAACTAAGGCTGGAATTTCCCCTCCCGTAGTAATAAAATCACCAATCGAAATTTGCTCGTCAATATAATGCCAAATTCGCTCGTCAAATCCTTCGTAATGTCCGCAAATAAAAACTAAATTAGCAGACTGGTTAAGTAGTCTCGGCACATCTTTTTGAGTAAAAGTTTTGCCCTGGGGAGAAAGCAAAATCAAATAACTATTAGGATAATCCTCTTGAATAGTTGCTAATGCCTTTACCAGTGGCTCAATTTTTAAGACCATTCCGACCCCCCCTCCGTAGGGTTTGTCATCAACCTGTCTTTTGACAGCAAAATCTCGCAAGTTATAAACTTGATAATTCAGCAATTCCCTCTGGAAAAATCTTTTTGCCAAAGAGATTTGAAAATAATTGTGAAAATACTGGGGAAAAAGAGTGAGATAAATAAAATTAGGTTTCATGCTGGATTAAGAATTTTTTAATATTAATTCCTATAAAGACAAACAAAAACCACTCAAAAATCCCCACTGTTTTTTTTTTTTTTTTTTTGTAAAATAGATTTAGGAGGCAGTTAAAAGCCTTTATTTAATAGTAAAATTAATTTAATAATAAGAGAAATATGACAATACAAATAAGTAACCACCAATACATCAGAAAAATCATACTAAATGCCTTTAAAGGTAATAAAATTAGTAAACAAGAAAGTCAAAAGTTAGAGCAAGCCGTTCTTAGTTTTGATAAAAAAGACTGAAGAAATATAAAAATTATCTTCAAACAAGCAGTAAAAGAATTTGCAGAGCAAGAAATGGAAAAAATAGAAATTCCGGAGCAATGGAGAAATCAATACAAGATTCTTTACCAGGCTCTTGCCAACTTTTCAACTGCTTTGTTCAGTGAGGAATTCATAATGGAGGCTGTTAATTGCGAGAAATTAAAAATTCCGTTGAACCAGAGAATAAACCGGCTACTGCCTTTAATAACTAAACAAATGAGGATAATGGCAGCTCGGAAACCGGCTTCTACTAACGTAGATTACAAAACTGAAAGAAGTTTCAATAAAAAATACGACGAATTAGAAGTCATCTTTTTATCTTTATTTCATATTTCAGATGAACAACAGAAAATAACCAAAGTTCAAAAAATACTTAGTTTAATCAAAAGCCTAACTCCAGGAGAAATTAAAGTTCTAAAAGGAAAAGGCAAAGATATTTTATGGTATTTCTTAAACAAATATGCTAAACGCGAATTTTACCTATGTCCGCCTTTAAAAGATTTTACTGAAGCAATGGTGGACTTAGTTGATGCTATATTGGACGAAAATCTAATGTCTGAGGGCTGGAAAATTACTATCGAAGTGCTGGAAGCATTTATTGAACAAATTAATTTAAATTCTATCCGCAACCCCTTTGAGAATTATGAACAAGTATTTGAAAAATTCTCTGAAAATGAATTCCAAAAAAGTTTTGTTCAGAAATTGAAAAAATTAGGCTTAGAAAACCGTTTATTAAAACAGTTACAGGATTGCACTCAACATTTAAATTTATTAGCAGGAGCAGAAACAGACTTTCAAATTTCGGATGCTGATGAACAAGAAATAAACAGAAAACTACAAGGAGCCAAATCTGAGAGCGAAAATAACAATTCACAAGAACAAAGAAGTTTAAGTTTCATTTCACCTATTGAAACATTTTCTAATTTTGAAAATCAGGGACCCGGAAACCTCCCAAGGGATAATCAACAATTTGATTCATGAAGCGATTGACAACATATAAGAAACGAACTTTCTAAGGTAACCCTAACTACTCCTAAATGGTATGAAAGACCATGATTGTTGGGAATAGTAATAGTAGGTGCTCTCTTATTAGGAGGATTTATTTCTTGGTTGATTTTCCGCCATCGCAAAGAAAAATCTCTTCACTAAAAAGGGAATTAAAGCATCAAAAGCCAAAATAAATGGAAATTTTGTAAAACCTATAAAATTGACTGGGTTCATTAAACACCATAATCCTTTCAGAATAGATATTTTAACGAGCAGTTATTTTTCTCACTAAAAAGCAATATTTAAACATTCAAAAAAACTGAATGAAAAAGAAAAGCATTGATGACCGTGACCTAATGATATTAGTCCCCCCACGGTAAAGAAAATGATATTCAGCAATCATTTTCTTGATTTTTATTTCTTTGGTGCCAGGGCCGGGATTCGAACCCAGAACTTCGGGTTATGAACCCGAAATGATACCATTTCAAACACCCTGGGATATTACTAATTCAATTTCTTGATTTCAAAATAATTACGCAAAAGTCTAACAAGCATCATGAAATCAATTTGTATAATATAACTTATTTTAAGTATTTTTTGAACTTTGATTTTATTGTCAGCCCTACCATTTCGGTAAAATTACTAAACTATTATTTTACTAATAATTAGGTCAATTAACATTTCTTAAGTTTCCTTATAATTAAAGGCAGTTAGAAGTTTGAATTGCTGACATTTAATTCTAAAAGGAAATATTTAACTTTTTTGTTTTTTACCTCTCAACAGGATATAACTAACCACTCCTATCACCAGTATTACCATTCCAACTCCACCTAATATTCAAGGGAGATAACTACTTTGCGGTTCCTTTTTTTGCTGGTTAGAATTGTTAAAAGGACTTTCGAAATAAAGGCAGTTTTTCAAAAAATCTTCTATATCTTTATCGTTCCAACCATGTCCGCGGCCAGGATGGTTTTTAAATTCTACATTATAGCCTCGTTCCTTTAGAAGGTCATAGGTTTTTTTTCCAGTTCAAAAGGGAACCCATTCATCACCTGAATTATTTATAATTAAACAAGGAGTTTCTTTATTTTTAGTAGAAGGATTAACCAGTAACTTATCCCAGCGAGGTAAAAGACCGCAAAGCGGAATAAAACCGCCTAATTTATGTTGAGAAGTCAAAGCCACTGCCAAAGTTAGCAAACCACCTTGGGAATAACCAGAAATAAAAATTTTTTTCGGAGGAATGCCAGCCCTGATTTCCTGCTCAATAATTTCGTTAACACAATTCACTGCTCGCATTAGTTGACAATAGTCTAAATGAATTATTTTGTCAGCCTCTTCAAAATTTTTCTGGCGTGAAATATTATAAAGATTATATGCTTTAGGAACATCTGCTTCCATTAACTCCCACGCGTCACCAGTAATGTTAATTCAGCCCTTACACTGTCCACCTGGAGCCGGTCGCGAGCCATGCCACATATCGTATTGTAAAGTGGGAGAATGAGGATGAATAACCTTCAAACCAGGAATTTTTTCAGCCATCCCATCTAATGAGCCGGCTCCATAAGTGCCATGAAGAAAAATTAAGGTGGAAGTATGTTTTTCTTTTGGCTTTTTTACCGATGGAAAGGGGATTAAATTTTTTTCACTATTTAACCTCTTTAAATTCTCCAAATCGTTTATCCTTACTGCTTTAAAATTCGGATAAATAATTTCTCCATTTTCTTCATTAATTAAAGCCCTAAATGGAAAGGCACTCGCTTTGACAATTTGTATAACTCTTCACTTTTCTTTCGAACTTTTTACATGATTAAAAATTGCTTCGACTGCCTCTTGATAATCCGTCCCTTCCAACTTGACTACCTCCACCTTATCCTTATTTTTCTCGTCATAAAGTCAATCATGAAATTTTTCAAAGTCAAAATTAACTTCTTCTCAAACTTTATCGTATCTCTCTTTACTAATTTGCTCAGGAGTTTTTTCCCGAAATCTAACTTTGCCTTGGAAAGGGTTTTTTAAATGCTCGCGAATGGCTTCTAATTTTTTGTCAACTTGTATTTCGCTATCTTTAATCCTAATAAAGTCTCCGCTTCGAGTGATAATTCACTGGTCAGGATTATTGATTACCTCTTGCCTAGTCATCCTAAAGAAATATTTTTGTTATTTTCATTTACCATAGATAAATTAATTTAAATTGATTATTAAATTATACTTGGCTAAATTTTCTAATTGCTGGATATGATTAACATTCAATAAACTAGTTAATTCTTCCTTCCAGTTACTACTAATTTTTCCCTTCTCTTGCCGATAAGCAATAATTTTCTCGGCCAATTTTTCTCCAATGCCAGTAATAGCAGTAAAAGGAAAATAAATAGTATTGCTTTCAATTTTAAAATTTTTAATCTCTGATTTGTTAAAGTCTAATCCTCGTGAAAAACCTAACCCTTTTAATTCCATTTCTAAAATAACTTTCAAAGTAAACAATAATCCTTTTTCTTTAGCCGTCAACTTTCATGTTTTACCATTTTTCCGCAAGTTTTCAATTAAACTTTTATTGCCAGAGTCATTTATTTTCCCCTGAATTCTAGTTAAGACTTTTTCGATGTTCATCCTTTCCCAAGCCTCTCAAAGAGACTTTTTTTCTCCAATTGTTTTTTGCATTCTTTTTTTTTCCTTGTTTAATTCTTCAAAAACTTTAATAATCGAAAATAATTCTTTCTCACTGCTTTTGTAAACAGAAATATTGTTTAACAAACTTTCTAAGCGAAAATTAATAGTTTCCAAATCCAAAGTCATTAATCAAATGTCATAGACAGTAGAGTGATAGGTTAGCAAAACCGAGTAAAACTCTTGAGGATAATAAACTTTATAAAAAGCAGTTCGCCAAGCAGTCATGGTATAAGCTATCGCATGAGGCTTGGGAAAAATATATTTAATTTTGCTTAGAATAGAAAAATATAACTCTCCTTCTTTATCATTCAACTTACTCTTCATTTCTTCCTTAATTTTTTCCGGCAATTTTTCTCACTTCCCTTTTCGAATAAACTCGGTAGCAATGAAAGCATTTTTATTATCTACTCCCCAGGAAACTAAAAAGTTCCAAATATCTTCTCGACAGGCGATTAGTTCGCTTAAAGATAGTTGTCCGTTTCTGTAAACAGTATGTTGATTTTGGGTTCAAACATTAGTTCCATGTGAGAAACCTGAAATTTGAACTAATTGAGAAAATTTATTTGGCTTTAAGGGAGTTAACAAATTTCTTCTAACAAAGTCGGTTCCGAATTCTGGTATTCCTAAGGTATCGGCAGTAGTAAAAATTTTCATTATATTTTCATCATGAAAAGAAATTTTATTTGGGTCAACTTCTGTCAACTGAAACAGTTTTTGTAATACCGTGGGCTCATCATGCCCTAAAATATCAACTTTAAGAAATATTTCAGATAAAAAACTATATTCAAAGTGAGTAGTCATCCATTCAGATTGCCGGTTATCTGCTGGATAGTTTAAAGGAGTGTATCTTTGAATATCAGTGTTAGGTAAAGTAATAAGTAAACCACCAGGATGCTGACCAGTGGTACGCTTAATTCCTTTTAACTCTTCAATAATTTCTTCCTTCGGTCCCTCCTTTATCTTCCTAATTTCTTCCAAAATTTCCTTTATTTCCTTTTCTTTTTCATTAATTTTTTTTTTAATTTCGCTCAATTGTTCTCCCATTCTTTATAAAGAAGATTTTATAATTGAAACTTTTATTTAGTCTTTTTCTTTTTAACTATTCGTAAGGATATGATTATAAATCCTAGCAAAATACTGCTTACTCCTATCCCTAAAAAAACCTTATTAGACAAAGAAAAGTGCTGTTTATTATCTCCCTCTAACTTACTCTTGTCTCCTGCTTTTTCAATACTCTCTAATTCATTGATTACTTTATCAAGTCTTCCTTCTTGATTGATAATTTGATAAAGAAGGGTATTGTTATCTCTTTCAGTAATAAGTTTAGATAAGATTTCAGGATCAGATTTATTTTCTTTAACTAAACTTTCAGCAGCGATTACTGTTTGTAATAGTCCTTCTACTTCTGGCTGTTCTTCTGGGTTTGGTGAATTAGGATTATTTTCTTCTTTTTCTTTATTTGGATCAGGATTATATTGGTGGGGAGTATTAGAGTTAGTAGGTTGGTGTGGTCTTGGAGGAGTATAAGTTTTGCGTCTTTTGGGTGGAGTGGAGCGGGTGTTGTTGGTGTTTTTATTTATCATTTCCTCATATTCCCGCTTTGCTTTCTCCTCTTCATCTATAATTTTTATCATTTCTTCGTAATTTTGTCAAATATTTCTTCGATAACCTAGTTCTCCTATTAATTTGTAACTTTGTTCGAAATCAAAGGCATGTTTGCTCACTCTCCTTTTAGTTGGTTTGTGTTTAAAATATCCTACTTCTTTAAACTGCGAATCAGGAACAAAATCGACAAAAACTAACTCTCAATCTTTTATTTCTCGTAAAATCGTTTCAAATAACTTTGTTTTTAATTCCTCGTATCCTTCGGGGGTAAAACTATCTTTACCAAAAAAAAGAAATCATTCATTTCCCTCTATGTCAGGAGAAGAATTAGCAAAGTTGCCATGGCTGTCAAGCACATACTCTTCAAAGTGGTCGAGAACATATTGTTTGTTTTTTTCTTTCTCTTCTTGGCTTGCCATAATTTTTAAATTTATTTAAACAATACTATAAGGGCAAAATTTACAACCACAATCGCAAATAATAACATCATCTAATTCTCTCTTATAATTATCCCTTTCTCTTCTAGTATCATCCAATTGAGATTGGAGATTATTTTTTTCTTGTTGAATGTTATTAAGTTGCTGCCGAGTATTATTCCATTGCTCGTTAGTAATATTAGGACGATTGTTTAGTTTCTCCTCAATTTCTCTTATTCCTCTTTCAAGTCCATTATTTCTATTATTAGCCTCATTCAACTGCCTATTTAATTCATTTACTTGCTGGTTTTTATCACTTAATAAACCTCTTAAAAAAGAAAGAGATTCATTTAGTTCTTTAATAGTCCACTTTTTTACAAAAATGGTAAATGGTCAGAATGAGGAGTTCCAATTTGAATAAAGAGAATAGATAAAAAAAATGCTGAGGCACTAATAAGGATATTAGAGACCTTAAAAGGTAAATCGCCAACCGAAATAAGTAATATTATTGATAACAGTTTTCATTGAATATCTCACCATATTGAACTTCGCCTTGATCCAGAAAAACAAGAGTTTAAGATTTTAACCCCTAACGCCATACAGTGAAATGTTGGTAATCATCTTTCAGAAATTATTAAAGATTTAGAAGAAGTAATAACAGAGAGAGAGAGAGAGAGAGAGAGAGAGCAAAATGGCGATATCAACCACACATTCTGCTTCAAATGCGATAGATATTTGAATTTAGCCAAGGGTGAATACGAAGCAGTTGGCACCAAGAAAGCAGGAGGTTATTTACGCTGTTCTACTTGCAAAAACCAAGTTCCATCCCAAATAGAAAAGCCCAAAGTTTGCATGAAATGCCAAAAAGTGTTGGAGATAGTAGGTAAACATAACAACAAGATTATTGGTGAAAAAGTCTTTGAAACTGTGGAGGAACACATCAAAAAAAGCCCTTCTTGCTCTAACCAGGAACCAACAAGCATGACTTGAAGTGCTTGGAGTAAATGTCCCATCTGTGATAAAAAGTTTACTTGTCAAGGTTATTCCACAGAAAAGCAAGCCCTAAACCAAGCATCAAAATTAGCTAACGAACACATCAAGGCAACTCATTCTCACTATTGGGAGAGTTGACAAAGTAAGCAATCAGACTTATTCAAAAAACTAAGGAAAGTAGGATTTTCAAGAGATTTTAGTAATCCTAATATTCATTTCTCTAATAATGTCCCAATGGGTGTTGCTTCGCAGGTTGGCATTGAAAGTCATGCTGCTAAGGAAGAAATCTGACAATGTCCAACTTGCAAATTAAAAGTTTCTCGTTTTGTTGTTCCCAGTCTCGATACCAAAAAGTTTTCTTATTGGGGTAAGAAAAAACACCAATGCTTAAAGTGTTCTAAATGTGGCAAGTATTCTTCTTACAAAACTTTACAATTACATGATATTTATGAGTGTTCTAGTCGGCAAAACCGACCGAACCAGCAAGCGGTAAATCAGCAAATTCAGCAGGTTAACCAACTAATAAATACAATTCAGCAGTTAGCCCAAAATGCTTCAACTTTAATTCAATCGATTAATAATGATCAACAACTAACTCCGCAACAAAAACAACAAGTTATAAACAATCTTAATTCAGGGATTAATAATCTAAAAACTGTTGCGGATGATTTAGTTAGTAAGCAAAAGAAATTGAATGATTTGGCGATTAAATCTGAACAAAACAAACCTACTAACTGAACTCCGTGGATTATTAGTAGTTGTATAATATTGGTAGTAATTGTTGTTGTCTTATTTCTTATTTGACTATGAAAGAGAAAAGAATAAGAAAAAACAAATATGGAGTTCTTCAAATGATACTCCAACCCCATCGTATAAACAAATTATTAGAAAGATTTACCCAGCAAGAACTAGCCGATATTTTTGAGATCAATGAAAGGACTATTCGTAGATTAAAAAAACCAAACTCTACTCCTAAAAAGGCAGGTAGGAAAAGAAAACTTAGTCAAGAAAGCCTACTTGCTTTACGCCTCTATGCTATTGCTATCAAAGATTTTACACAAAAGTCTTTGGTTTGAAAGTTTTCTTGTAGTCAGTCCACCATTTGTCGGATGTTGAAAAAAGCTGGAATTAGTTATAAAAAGTTTACTTACCAAGCCTTAGAGCAATTGCGATACAAAAATAGGAAAGAAATCAAACACTTTATCGAAGTAATAATTCCTTTCTTACTAAAATCTGATGCGAATATTTTCTTTTTAGATGAATGTGGTTTTCATCTTAATGAGGCTCCGAGAAGAGGTTATTATTTGAAAAACGAACGATTAGTTGGTCAGAAACTATGAAAAAAAGGCGAAAATCAAACTCTAATCTTTTTAATCCAAATCACTAACGGAGAAAAGATAATCCACTGAAAAACAATTGAGGGAGCATTAAATAGCGAGAAATTTCATAAGTTCCTAACTGAATTTAATCCTCCTAACAACGGCAAGAAAAACTATCTTATAATGGATAAATTGCCAGTTCATAAAGCTAACCAATCTTGTATTGATTTAAAACTTACTCCAATTAAAGAACTATTAAAAAGTAAGAATGTAGAGATAATCTTTTTACCCTCTTGCACTCCTGAACTAAATCCTGCTGAAAAGTGTTTTAATATTACTCGCCAACATATAGAAAAAAGCCGAGCCAGAGAAAAAGATAAGTTAGACTTGGCTATTGAAGAAAAGGTGAAGTTTTTTAAGGGAGAAAACATGGTCAAATACTTAGATAATTCAATAAAATAATGCTTAATGAAGAATAATGGTAATGGTATTATTGAGATTAGTGATATTGCCGAGATTAATTCTCATCCTAATGGGGATTTATTCCTTATCTATCACAAAGATAAAGAAATAGATGAGAAACTTTCCTATTTTAGTCTTTTATGTTTTGATCTTGAACCGCCTGAATGTGCAAAATCATAACATGGGGTAGTTTCCAATAAAAGGATAAAAAGTGTAAAATTAAATATTATGGTAAATGCCCAAAAATGGTTAGAAAGTCAAGAACAATATAATACCAAAGAAAAAAGGGAAAAAATAGAGAGGTTGGATATTGAAGAGAAAAACCTAGAAGGACATCTAGATTTAAAAGACTTCATTAATTTAAAAGAGTTAAATTGCTATAATAACCAATTAACTAACCTAAAATTTGCCGATGAGAAAAAAATTACTAAATTAGATATTCGGGATAACTATTTTGCCCAGAAAGATTTATCTTTTTTAAGTAATTTTACTAATTTACAATCTCTAAAATTAGGAAGAAAAAGAATTAATTTAACTTATGCTCTAACCACAGCTTGAAGTCAGGAAAATAGACATCTTAATTCTTTTGGTGGTTCCTTAGAACCTTTGAAAAATATGTCTAATTTAAAAGAATTGAGTATTATTAACACTGATATTAGTGGAGGGTTAGAATATTTACCCAAAAATTTAGAAAAAATTAAGTGTGGAACTACTTTTGGTCGAGAAAAGGATTATAAATGTAGTGAGATTTGTGAAGAGTTGAAAAATTATGAGTTAGGTAATAAAGAGTATTATTTGAAGGAGTGGAGAGAAAATAATTCAGAAAAATTGTGAGCAAACTGACAAGAAATCCATCCAGATTTTACTGAGGAATTACAAAAACAATGAGAAGATAGAGGTTTTGATTATTGAGATTGTGAACGATGAATTAATAATCGTTGCCAACCCCACGAAGCAGAATTAGCTAATTATTTATATGAATGCCAAAGAAATGAAATTTATTATGAATACATTGAAAAAGCCAGAACTGAATACCCCCAGTGAAAAGAGTTGGGCTTTGACTTAAAAACCATAATGGCTTGAAAAATACAAGGCTTTACTCTCCAAGACAGTTATTTCTGTGCTTGGCTAAAAAATACTAAACAACTAACTCCTGAACAAGCAAAAGTTAATAAACAACAATTAAAAGGAGAATTTAATGAGTATTGGAATGAGGTTTCCAAAATAACTCAGCAATGGTTAGACCAAAATTACCCTGATAAAAAAACACGAACTATATACCTCAACCAACAATTAGAAGGAATTTTAGATTGTAGTGGTTATGGTGATTTATGATGAGGAATATTCATCTCTACCCAAGTAGATAGCAGCAAATTTGAAATAAAGAACGAAAGACATGCTAAAATAACCCCTTGTGTCTCAGCCCAAACTTGGCTAGACCAAAAATATCCCAAGGATGGGACTTGTGTAAGAGAAAATGAGAGGAATTATAGTCCTCATGTTAATAACTTTGGTAAAAAAAGAGCAGAAATGACATGATTATATATAAGAGGAATAGGCTTAGAAGGAGAATTAGATTTATCTGATTTTACTAATTTGGAGGTATTAGAATGCCATGATAATTGCCTCACTAATCTAAATGTAAATAATTGTAGGAAATTAAAAAGGATTGAGTGCTGTAATAACCAACTTACTACCCTTGATTTGAGTAATTTAGAAGAGTTGGAGACACTTGAATATTATGATAATTACCTCACTCAAATGCCTTATCTACCTAATCCTAAAAAGTTAACTGTATTAGAAATATACAATAACAACCTCTCTCTTTCGGACCTCATTATTTTTAATTCAATGAGAAATTTATGAATATTAGAGATTGGTAATACTGATAAAAACAAAACTAACCAAGGAATATACAACAAAATAGAGGGTTCATTGGAGCCTTTAAAAGATTTAAGTAGATTATGAAGATTAAACATTTCCAACACCGACATCAACAGTGGTTGAGAATATTTACCAGATAGTTTAAAAGGTAAAGACTTTGATTATGACACTAAATTAAGACCTGATTGTAAATTAACCGAAATGGTTCCTTTGCTTAAATCACGAGAAAGTCAAAAGAAAATCGGTAAATTCATCCAACAATCCCAAGTAGAAAAAATACCTTATGAACAATTTACTTACATTAATTACTTAGCCCAAGGTGGTTTTGGCAAAATATATCAAGCCGAATGAAAAACTGTGGAGACTGTGAAGGAGAAAATTCATTATGATTTTTCAGAGAAAAAAAAATCAGAAATAGTAAAAAATGTTATTCTCAAATCCTTAAATAAATCCCAAAATATTACACCCGAATTCTTACGAGAGATTGCTAGCCATAAATTATTTGATAATGACACTAAAATTGTCAAATGTCATGGCATCTCCCAAGACCCAGAAGGCAATTACATCATGGTCATGGATTATTCTAGGGGTGGTAATCTAAGAGATTATTTACAAAAGAATAATAAAAAGTTAGATTTAAAAAAGAAACTTATTCAATTACAATCTATTGCCAATGGGTTATATTCTATCCATGAAAAAGGATTAGTTCACAAAGATTTTCATTTAGGCAATATTCTAAGTAGTGGTTCAGAGGCTTATTTTGCTGATTTAAAATGTTATATCACCGATTTAGGTTTATGTAAGCCAGTTAGTGAAAAAGAAGAAGGTAAAGTTTATGGAGTAATGCCTTATGTAGCTCCTGAGGTTTTAAATGAAAAGCCTTATACTCCAAAATCAGATATTTATTCTTTCGGAATGGTGGCTTACGGAGTTTTATCAGGGCAACCTCCTTTTTTCAACAAGTCTTATGATGCTTATTTAGCACTAAGTATCTGTAAAGGAGAAAGACCTCAATTCTTAATTAGAATACCCCAACTATTAAAAGATTTAATTAATAAATGTTGAGATGCTAATCCCGAACAAAGACCAACAGCCGAGGAACTAGATAATATTTTAAATGAATGAAGTAAAGAAGTAAATGAAAGTCAAAATACAGAGTTCACCCAACAGCTTAAAGATGCTGAAAGTTATAATCAAACTTTACCTGATGAAATCAAATATCCTAAACATGAATTACATATGGGAGCAGTTCAATATAGTAAACTCATAAACACTAAACAAATAACTCGCTCATTAAATGCTACGGAGAACTTGAAATTAGATATTAATGATTATCTTTCTGAATTATATCTCCAAGAAGAACCGACTTCTCCAACCAAAATCGAAGAAGAACAAATAATAGAGTTGAAAAAACAATTAGAAGATGCACAACAACAAGCCAAATATTGAGAAAACAAAGTAAATGAATTACAAATTCAATTAGAACAATTACAAGAGGAAGTTAAAAAGAAAGAACAATCTTCTTACCAAGCCCAAATAGAAATTCCTCCTAAAAATCAGTAAAATTATTGGAAACTACCCTATATTATTAAATGTCAAAAGCGGACATTCTTTTTGAATTGTGTAGTAACTTTATTTTTTTCTTTGTCTAGGCCATTAACTTCCGAAATACTTAGTTCAGTTTGAGTGCTTTGGCTTTTTTGAAAAGGTTTTTGGATAAATATCTCTCCTTCTTTAATAGTTATTCCTCCGTAAGGGTCAGCCTTTTTTGACACCTTTGGAGAAAGATAAACAGGATAGAGAATGTTTTTTCCTTTTAATAAATCTAGTTTCTTCATAAGAGTATGTGGAATATCTATCTGTATCCATTCGCCCCCACAATCAAAACCATATCTTTCACAAACTGGTTCTTTTCAACCTTGGGTAGAACACATATGATTTCTACTCTCTCTAGTTTTTAATTCTTTAAAAGAATGATTGAAATTATCCTGGATAAAAACTCTAAAACATAGTATATAATCATTATGACTAAAAAAGAAAAAAATAAGTTGGAGGAAATCCACGGAGGAGATGAGATTGTGAAAATTAGTTCAGAACATAATCAGGATGAAAATGTTTCCACAACCCAAGAAGTAATTCACTATAAAAGGGGGTATATGGCACATAAGCATAATGGAAAGTTAGGTCATTGCTCCGAATGTAAAAATCAATCAGTAAGTCATGAGGAGTTTGATAAAATGGTAGAAATCTTGTTAAATACTCCACCTAGAAAAAGAACTAAAAAAGATAGAAATAAAGTTGTTAGAAATTAGTTAGTTTAATTTCGTATATAATCACCTAATTTTATTATATATAATCTATTAGTTAAGAGTATTAACTTTTTTTAGAAAGAAGCAGTATAGCAGGTTTTCTGAAACGCAATTTGTCAATAAACTACTTTCGAGAAACAAAAAGATTATCCTTAATATAAAATCTTCACAATCGGTTTTTATCCTCTCCAGCATAGTCTATATTAACCCTTGTAGTGGCAATAATTTGGTCGGGATTAAGTTCTGGTTGGCTTTCTAAGTAAATTAAATCACTAGCAGTTAAATCAACATGGTTAAGACTTATATCAATGTTTAAGGCCCGACATAATTTACCCGGACCGTTGGTATAATAGTGAATTTTTTTTCCTTGGTCATGCTGAGAAGGAACAGGTATAGTATGATGGTCAAGAGGTTCAGCAGCCCGAATTAATACCCCTTGTGGCTCTCCTTTAACAGAGGAAGCAATATTGAAACAGTAATATCGGTAATAAATAAGATAAACGTAAGCACAACCACCTCGATTTGATAAGGCAGCGGATTTTCAACGCGACCTATTTTCCTGATGAGCATGGCATGCTCGGTCTATTCTTCCATCATAAGCCTCGGTTTCCACAATTTTAACTTTGATAAGTTGACCATTAACGTTTCGGACCAATATTTTACCTAGTAATTTTTGAGCTAATTCGACTGCATGAACAGCAAAAAAATTAGGGTCAGTGATACGCAAATTTTGGTTTTTTTTATTCATTTAAAATTTTTCTGATTATTTATTTTTTAGTTATCTCTTTAAATTTTCAAGTGCAAAGAAGTTTAACGGAGGCATAAAATAATTATAAAAAGAACCTGAGAAGTCTAATTATTAAATTTTAAATGCTGCTCCAAGAAAAGTTAGTCCTAAGCGGCAGGTAAAATTTTAAAAGGGTTTCCATAATAAAATATTAAAATTTTTCATGCCTAAAAAAAAAGAAAATACTGTGATTAATAGTTGCACTTAATGCTATATGTCTGTCTCTCGCTTTTTATCATAATACTTGAAATTATGGGAACAAATGAAACTCTTCTCCAATACATTCACTATGGGAATTCTTTACAGTTTGGTGATGCGTCTGAAATTCAGTTCTGCTTTTTATTTGAACTTTTTGAGAAATAAATTCTCCCTCTAATAAATTAAGTAAAAAAAATGAAAAGTTAGGTCTGCTAGTAGCAACCGTCAGTTTAACTTCAATAATTGGATTTACTCTAAATATTTTAGCCAAATTTCAGCAAGCGAGATCTTATCAAAAGTTTATTGAAGGTTCGTGGTGGTGGTGGTGGTATTCCTTTACTTGGCATTACTTTATTTTCCCCCTTGCTCTTTATTATTTTTTTAAATACTCCAAATTAAAGAATTTAAGTAAAAAAAGAATCCTTTACTTAACAATTCCTTTCCCAGTTACTTTCTTTTTAGCCAATCTGGCTCGAAATTTCTTGGCAGACAGCAATTACTTTGGCAAGAAGCCTTTTTTAGGAAATGTCATTTGATGGTTTAGTCACTTAGAGGACAAACAGTATGGATTCTTGCTAGTTTGAATTGCATTTAGTATCTTTTACTTTTGGGTAGTTGCTTATTCATTGCTACGATTTAAAAAATGACTTGATTATTCACCTAAACTTTCCTTGAAATATAAAATTGTACAACAGAAAATGAAAATTAGAAAAGAAAAAGATTTTCTTCCGCTTTTAAAAAAGAATTCAAAGAGATAGAACAGAATTTCATTATTTCATTTCACCTCGAAAAAAATTAAAAAGTTAGAAAATAATGGGTAGTCACCAACAAGACCAAGATAAAATATGATGAGAAAAACAAAAAAATGGCGGTTGGAAAAATTTGACTAATTCTTTAGCCCAAGATCCTGCTGTCCATTCTCGCTTTAATAACTTTATCAAAAATTTTTATTGGCAGTTCCGGTTGAAAAAAGGAATTCCGCGAGGGAGCCATAGTCCAGAAATTAATTTTCGGGGATTCAAAGAATTTATTACTGAAGAAAAAAAACTAGGGCAATGCCAATTTAATTTAACCGAAGAAACTAAATGAATCCCCACTATTGATATTGTTATTAGCCAAATGTATTTACTGAATAGACTAGGTATGGAAAGGTTTATTGATAGCAATCCTAATGTTCCTCCTGGAGTAAAATACCATGCTTCGGAAATTAGTTATGAAAAGTTAATCAAAACCATCGCTCACGAATTAGCCCATGCTTACCAATATACTATTAACTTAAAGAAGGAAGGAGAAAAAAGTAATTGCGAGAGTTCTGGAGAGAAAGACGCCGAAGGTAATTTTTTATACCCTGAACTAGTAATTGAACACACCCAACTAACCCAAGAAATCAAACAAACGATAATTACTTCAACTAGATACCTAGAATTCAAGGATTGATGAAGTAACCAACAATCTTCCCCTGAAATACCAGAAAAAGATGAGGAAGAGGAATTTGGGAAATTGATTACTTTACTAAAAGGGAGTAAGGATTTATTAGATTTAGAAAAAAATTATCGTGCTGTCAAAAAAAGTCCTTTTTATAGTGAAATTAAAAATACTCTTGGAGGAAAAGAAAACAATAAACAATTGTTAGACAGTTACTATGCTAAGAAAACTATAAATTTAAAAACTTCTGAAACTAACAGTCCAAATAATAACTCTTATTTTAATGGCTATTTATGAATACTTATCTTAATACTTTGAGTAATAGCCTTACTAGCAATAGGAATATTTATCGTTTCCGGAAGAAAAAAAAAAGGGGGGGGGTAGAACGAGATTGTATGCCAAAAAGATTTTATTCTTTATTTTTTTTACTCTCCTGGATTAATAAATCAAGAACTTTATTAATGTATTTATATTTCTGCTTTTCCAAATAAACTTTACTGAAATTAATGGTCTGATCGATTATCATTTTTTCCAAATCATTATTCTTCTCTGAAAACAATTCAAAAAAAGCATAAACTAATATTGCTCTCTCTAAAGGAGGTAAGTGAGAAAATTCTCAGCCAATTTTTAATTTTTTCCCAATTCTTTCGGTAAGAAATTTCTCCTCTTTTAAGCAATTGATAAACCAAACAATCCTCTCCTGCTTTTTTTTTCCTTCTTCCAAGGTAAACAGTGCATCAGGAAAATGGGCACTGCCTAACAAATAATACTGATAAAGAAGGAAAATTTTCCTTTTGTCAAGACGAAACATTTATTAATTTTTTATGATAATTTAAGTACCTACTTCAATTTTTGAACAAATGTGGAGAGGCTTTTTCTTTTAAAAGATTAGAGTCAAGTTAGCAAATAGTTCTTCAAAAAAATTTTAATAAGTATGTTAATCAAGGGATATGGATCTCCATTTTTTAAATTTTCTCTTTACTAAAAATACGCCTGCCAACAGTAACAAAACTAAGATCGCTCCACTGATAGGAACAATCAACCACCAATTATAATAAGAAGAAGGAACAATAGCAGTTTCTTTAACATTTACAACATCTCCCCTTTCGTAGTTTTTTATTGCTTCTTTTAAAGACTTTTGAGCCTGCTTTACTATTCTTTCGGCATTTTTATCATAACTGGCTCCGCGAAACCTTCCGCCAAAAGCAGTGATAGTGCCATTTCTTAAAGAGTGTAAAACTTTTTTTGCGTTTTCAATACTATCAACTTCCATTATTCTATTCTGCCAACCTGAACGAAAAAAAGTTTTTTCTCAACCATTGGCCTTTAATCCCAACTCTTCACTCGTTTTGGTTACATGTCAGCGATAATTGGCTCATCAACCTTCATTAGGAGCCGAAAATGTTCAAAGAAAATTCATTGCACTTATAAAATTTTAAATTTTAGTAATTTTTTTGCTGTCTCTCCCAATTAATACGATTTTTATCCATATAAGCCTTGCGAATTTCTGTTTCACTTTTCATTCCCATTTTTTGGGCTAATTCTTCAAAAATTATTAGTCAGCGGTAGAAACTAGCTTTATTTTTTTCCATTTCAATCTCATCCAAAAAACTATTATCCATTTTTTCAACATCTTTTCAATTTGCGGAGTTTTTTCTAATTCACGGATAAACATTGACAGTAATTCGCGAAAGAGTAATTAATTCCCGACCGCTTTGTGTATCAATCTCATTCTGGATTTTTTTTGCTGTGTTTATGTGTCATCGCTCGTGACATCTTATAAACTCACCATTTTTAAGCGTTTTGCCGGAGCAGTTTTGATTTTTGCTTCGCCTTATAATCTCATCTCTAATTTTCCCTGCTATCTTTTTATTAGTTATTATTTGGCTGTTGCCTTTAATCACAAGAATTTCTTTTTCAACTCCTTTTAAAAGAGAATCCGCGTTTATGCTAAATGATTCGGTTTCTGAAAAAAAAGCCAACAAAAGTTCGTTAAAATCTGGCTCGGGGACTAATTTCTGAAATTTATAATCTACAAAGTTAATCCCAAAACTGTTAGTTCAACTCAAATAAAAATGTAAACAATCAATTAATTCTTCCTTCGCTTTGTCTCAATTAATATCTTTTTGACTTTTTCAGTGTTTGAAAGTTTTTAACTCGTTAGCCAATTCGCCAATTTCGACTAACAGAGCAATTTTAGTCCGGATGAAACTAGATTTACTATCGGCATCAGTCAAGTTTTTTTTCTGAACAATAAAATCATCGAGTTCTTTTTGCTTTTTTTGTAATTCTTGAATAGTTTGGTGGCCTAGCATTCCTTTTTTTATCGCACTTAACTCAAAGTAATTTTGCTTGATTTTGTGTTTTTTCCGCCAATTCTAGATTCTTTGTTTACAGGAAGCACACTCGAAATTTTTCTTTTTTTTGGAAAAATTTCTTTTCACGCTTCTTCATAATTTTCTACCATAATAATTTTAAGTTTTTTAACGCTTTTTGGCTGTGCTTTCCCTGGAACTTCACGAATTTCTTGTGGGATATCTTCGATATCTGTTTCATTAGCCTTAGGAATAATAATGGTCTTAATTCCACTACGGTGGGCTGCAATAGCTTTTTCTTTCAAGCCACCAATTTTTAATATTTTTCCTTTGGAAGTGATCTCCCCTGTCATACCAATATCAGTCGGAACTGTTTGGTTAGTTAGAGCCGAAAGAATAGCGGTAGTCAAAGTAATTCCAGCACTCGGTCCATCTTTTTTAACTGCTCCTTCAGGAGCATGAATATTAATATTTTTCTTTTTCAAAATATTTAATTCTTTTTCAAAATTTTCCTTGTTTTTCTCTAAATAAGATTGTATATAACTAAAAGCTACCTCAACTGATTCCTCCATAACCTCTCCTAAACTACCAGTTAATTTACCCAATTTTCCCTCTCCTGGAACTAAATTTACTTCAATTGGCAAGATATCCCCGCCATTTTCGGTTCAAGCCAATCCAGTGACTACGCCAATTTGAGGCTCTTTTTCTCTCTCAGTAAACTCATGCTTTCTCTTCCCTAAATAATCTTTCAGATTCTCTGGACTAACTACTAATTTTTCTTTCTCTTTTTTAATAAACTGTTCACTAAATTTTTCAAAAACATTTTGAATTTCCCTAGTTAACTGTCTCACCCCTGCTTCCCAAGTATGGTACTTAATTATGTCCATAATTGCTTGGTCCTGAAAAGTAACCTCCTCTTTTTGAAAATTAAGTTTTTTTAATTCTTTAGGAATAAGGTACCTTTTAGCAATCTGAAACTTCTCTAACTCAGTGTAAGAAGAAAGATAAATTATTTCCATCCTATCTAGAAGTGGCCCTGGTATATTTAAACTGTTAGCAGTACAAATAAACATAACTTGGGAAAGATCAATTGGAACCTCTAAATAATGGTCAATGAATTTCTTATTCCGATCACTATCCAAGACTGCCAACAAGGCATAAAGAAGACTACCTCGGTGACTATCATGACCCACTTTGTCAACTTCGTCAATCAAGATTACTGGATTAATTACTCCGGTTTCTTTCAGTATTTGCACCAAACGTCCGGGCTTAGATCCTATGTAAGTTCGGATGAAACCATGGATTAGGTTTACATCATAGGCTCCTCCTAAGGAAATATCACCAAATTTTCGTCCCATAGCTTCGGCCACTGAAGTTGCGAAAGAACTCTTACCTACCCCTGCTGGACCGACTAAAAGTAGAACTTTACCTAAGGGCTTTTTGGCTTGTTGCTGAGCGGCTAAATACTGAATAACTTTTTCTTTTGGTTTAGTTAAGCCATAATGTTCCTCATCTAGTTTCTGATGAACCAGTTTTAAATCTTTAACTTCCTCACTTCTTTGTCATCATGGCAAATTAATTAATCAATCAACATAATTAATAATAACATGGGCTTCGGTTGAGCCAGGGTGTGTCTTCGTATAGCGTGTGGACTCTCTATAAATAATTTCTTTAATGTACTCCGGATAAGGTTCTTTTCTGAGCCTTTCTAAATACTTACTCATCTCGCTATTCCCGTATCCTTCTTTACTTCTTAGTTTTCTTTCAATAACCTTTAATTTTTCTCGCAAGTACCACTCTTCCTGTTGGTCCTTAATCGCTTCCCTTGTCTTATCTTCGATTTCCTTGTCAATTTTCTGTCGATTAGGTAAACTGATTAAAAGTTCTAAGCGTTCCTGTAAATCTGGAGAAGCCAGCACCCTTCACTTAGTAGCTTGGTCAATTTCACGTCCATTCTGAACTATGGAGTCGATGATACTTCCAATATTTCCTTCTACCATAGGCTTGTGAGGAAAATTCTCAATTGAATTCAGTTTTGATCTTTCAAGGATACCGGGAAGATGACGAACAAACTTTTCGGTTAATTCACTCATTGCTTTTTCACCAATTTCTTTTTCTTGTATTTCTTGATATTCACCTTGCCACACTTCATCTTTCCTTTCTAGATTAACTATTTCTACCCTTTTCAGTCCTTTTAATTTAACTTCTTTGAGAGAATTGATAAATAATTCGGGATCAATCTCCTCTGAAATATCCAAATCGATCTCCGCTAATGTCCCAACTGGTGCAAACTTTTCAAATTCATTCCCAAACTTTTCCTTATTGGGAATAACTAGCAACTGCTTTTGGTGATTCTTCCAAACTTTAATCAATATTTTTCTTCAAGCCTGACTTTCATTCTTCTCACCTAGAACTAAGCAATTATCGCACTTAGGGAACAAAAAAAAATCGTTTATTAACAAAATAGGTAATTGATTCATGATTCTATATAAAACGCAATTTTTACAATATAATTCTTTTTGCTATCACTACTGTTATTTTAGCAATTTAATTTTGGCGCCCACGGAGGGACTCGAACCCCCGACCTAGAACTTAGAAGATTCTTGCTCTATCCAACTGCGCTACATGGGCCCATTAAGTTTTTTGGCAAAAGCCTACAGTTCCTTATTTATTTAATAATTCAAGAATCTTTCTGGCATTATCAAAAGGACTTTTGTAACTAGTATCAACTTCTAGGTCGAAATTTCAACTCAAACTTTTCATTTTAAAAAATTGTCAGCGAGCCATTCCTAATTGCCGGTCGCCACGGTTTTTTTCTCTTTCTTCCATGAATGATAACTCACAATATACATTTACAAAAAAAACTTGATGACTTTTCAATTTTAAAGCATAATCTTCTAAATCTTTCTTTTCTCAACTTACCTCATCCACAATAACATTAAACCCATTGTCCGCTAAATGCTTAACTATTTTAGGAGCCAAAGCAGCCACTTTTTCTCCAATCGGTCCAACTTTAACTTCGGTAATCGGAAATCCTTCTTTATCAATACTAGATACAAAATGAAAACCTTCGGCAATTTTACTACCTTCTTTCCCTCAATATTTTTCAGGCATAGCATCAATAATAGAATCAATCCCGAAAGTTAATCAAAACTCATTACTTAAATTTTGAATTTCTTTGACTAGTGAAGTTTTTCCGGCTGAGGAACAACCGTTAAGGAAAATTATTTTTGCCTTGTTTGTTACCGCCATCATTTAAATTAAAAAAATAACAGAAATAATTCTTTAAAAGTACTGGCAATGAGCTATCTTCCCCGTGTAGAGTATTTTCGCCACGAAAGTGCTTGACTTCTGTATTCGGAATGGGAACAGGTACTATTTATTCACTTCGTTATAGTCACCAGCACAAAATAAATTCTCTCAAAACCGAACGCAAATTAAAAATACCAAAAGTAAGTCCTCGATAAATTAGTATGGATTAGCTGAATGCATTGCTGCACTTACACTTTCCACCTATCAACCTCCTGGTCTAGAAGGTATCTTACTCCTTACGGATGGGAAATCTTATCTTGGAGTTAGTTTCACACTTATATGCTTTCAGTGCTTATCTATTCCCGACGTGACTATCCAGCCATGCCATTGACATGACAACTGGTGCATCATTGGTCAGTCCACTCCGGTCCTTTCGTACTAGGAGCAGCTCTCCGCAAATTTCCTACGCCCACAACAGATAGGGACCAAACTGTCTCACGACGTTCTAAACCCAACTCACGTACCGCTTTAATGGGCGAACAGCCCAACCCTTGGAAGCTTCTTCACCTCCAGGATGCGATGAGTCGACATCGAGGTGCCAAACACTTTCGTCGATACGATCTCTTGGAAAGTATTAGCCTGTTATCCCCGGGGTAACTTTTGTCCGTTTAGCGACGGCCCTACCACTAGGTAACCGCCGGATCACTAAGTCCTACTTTCGTATCTGTTCGACTTGTAAGTCTCACAGTTAAGCATCCTTATGCCTTTACACTCACCATAGGATTTCTATACCTATTGAGGATACCTTATGAACACCTCCGTTACTTTTTAGGAGGCGACCGCCCCAGTCAAACTACCCACCAGACACTGTCCTTTTGGCTGTAAACCAACAAGTTAGAATTCTCCTCGCTACCGGGTGGTATTCCACCGTCGACTCCATTGGAACTGGCGCTCCAACTTCACAGTCTCCCACCTATTCCCCCACCCTTTCGGATGGGTACTCTCTACAAGCAGCAAAAAAAACCCAATATCAAGTTGCAGTAAAGCTCCACGGGGTCTTTCCGTCTAGTTGCGGGTAACCGGCATCTTCACCGGTACTAAGATTTCACCGAGTCTACAGTCGAGACAGTGCACGAATCGTGACGCCTTTCATGCGGGTCAGAACTTACCTGACAAGGAATTTCGCTACCTTTGGACCGTCATAGTTACGGCCGCCGTTCACTCGGGCTTCAATTCAGAGCTTCATTATTGCTAACTAACTCCTCCTCTTAACCTTGGAGCACTGGGCAGGCGGCACCCCCTATACATCCTCTTACGAGTTAGCAGAGAGCTGTGTTTTTGATAAACAGTCGTTCGTGCTGTTGCCGAGTTCCTTAACTGTAGTTTTCTCGCTGGCCTGAGGAGTCCTATTTTTAATTTATTACCCCGACCACGTGTGTTCGTTCTTGGTACGAGTACCATTATCATTGTTATAAACTTCAGAAACTTTTCTTGGAAGCAAAGTATCAGGAAAACCAGAATTCAATAACTAGTCACCTTTAACTGACTCCGTCATTTCTTTAGTGATAATGATTAGTACAGGAATATTAACCTGTTATCCATCGACTACGCCTTTCGGCCTCGCCTTAGGTCCCGACTAACCCAGGGTAGACGACCTTCACCCTGGAAACCTTGGTCATACGGCCAGAAGGATTCTCACCTTCTATCGTTACTCACGCCGGCATTCTTACTAGTAAAAGCTCCATTAATCCTCACGGTTTAACTTCTTTAATTTTTCGCTTTTACTACACTCCCCTACCGCTAGTTGGCAACAGAAGAATATTAAACTTTTATGAAAAATAACTCTTTTATTACCAACTAGCCTATGGCTTCGGTATAGTATTTGAGCCCCCTTACATTCTCGGCGCTATTACACTCGAATAGTGAGCTACTACGCACTCTTTAAAGGCTCATCATTACTGATGAGTGACAAAATGTCAGTGGCTGCTTTAAAGCCAACCTCCTAGTTGTCTATGTGTCATAACTTCCTTCTACACTTAATACTATTTAGGGACCTTAGCCGATAATCTGGGCTGTTTCCCTCACGTCCATGGAGCTTATCCCCCATAGACTGACTACAAGAGAACGAGGTGACGGTATTCGGAGTTTGATTACAGGCGGTACCTGATTAAAGGCCCTTCTATATTCAGTGCTCTACCCCCGTCACTTTTACTCTTGCGCTAGTCCTACAACTATATCGGGGAGAACCAGCTATCTCTAGGTTCGGTAAGCTTTTCACTCCTAACCACAAGTCATCCGAGACCATTTCAACGGGCACCGGTTCGGCCCTCCATTAGGTTTTATCCTAACTTCGGCCTGCTCATGGTTAGCTCACCTAGTTTCGGGTCTATAATCAGCAACTTAACGCCCTATTAAGACTCGCTTTCGCTACGGCTCCATTTGAAAAAACTTAACCTTGCTACTAATTATAACTCGCCGGCTCATTCTGCAAAAAGCACGCCATTAGGCTTTAATGCCCTTTGACTTCTTGTAAGTGCGATGGTTTCAAGTTCTATTTCACTCCCCTCTCGGGGTTCTTTTCACCTTTCCCTCACGGTACTAGTTCACTATCGGTGACTAATTAGTGTTTAGCCTTACAGGGCGGTCCCCGTACTGGATTACTCCATTCTTCCCACAAAATTTCACGTG